TGATCCACAAGGCAGTGGAGCATCGTGAGGAGATGCAGTCCCATGGAAGCCGGTGACCAACAATTGGTTCATTCGCCATTTGTTCCCGCAGGATACTGGAGCCCATGTGCACCATTGGTTTGGAATCCGGTTAAAGCGCCGGACATTCGCTTTTCGTCCTCTCATTTTCGTAAACAACACCCCAGCCACGAGAAGGCAGTGAGTAGGACTTCCCTGGCAGAGGCTATATACGCGTGGCCGTGTGAGAGTATTTCGAGAGGGAGAGCGGACTCTCCCCACTCTCGGCCGTACCAGGGCATTTGGGGGCTTACTTTACCTTGGGGCGTTACCTTACTGGTGAATGTTTAGAAACTGATCAGATGATGGGGCTATGAGTAGCAAAATGTTGTCGTGCATATTAAAGTGTTTGGCTTTTACCAAATACTAATTCTAAGTCGTTGTTAAAGTGAAAAATGAACATTTGATTTTGATAATATAGCATTTTTTAGTCACTTAACCAGTAATTCTGCATTTATATCCAAATAATCCAATAACGTCATGAGTGTATTACGTAAATTTCTCCGTTTCGTTCGACCAAAAATAACTATAAAGACATTCCATTGAATTACAATTACAGGGAATTTTTTCACAAAAATGACGTCCATTAAAAATAAACAACTCTATAATGAACCTTATAACATCTATGAAGTAAAACGAAACCTCGTCATTTAAAAATGTAATCATTTCATTAAATTGGCTTGTAAGGACCCAGTTAGTGAATCGTTTTGATAGATTTTCATTAAACATTATTTGAGAAACTTATTTTAATCTGAACGTCTTAATTATCTCTTCATCGGTATTGTCATTCACCTCCATTGTAATGAATTTTGAAAGCGGATGGTAAAATTAGTCGTAGTGTTTTATCAATAAGGCCGTGTTAGCTAATTAGTGTGATTCACTAATAAAACTCATATCTGTGCAGTTGGATTTGAGCCACATTTAATGTAGTCAAATCGAAGCACGTTGAAAGAAGTTTTGACTTGTAATCAAATGGTTGAATATAGGGCCCTCTAACTCTCGAACCACCAATCCAGAATCGAATCTGTGGTAACTTATTTTCAGTATATACTTAGTATACACCAAAGATCTTTAGTTCTTGTTTAAACACTTTATTTATCTTATAGACACAATATATTCCATCGACGAGGTGATGACCTATACACTAACATCACTCTAACTCTGCTCCAATCGTTGAATGGATATTATGTTTCATTTCCACATTTGGATGGCCATCAAGTAGGTAGTTTTCTTCTTTTGTATTCATCCGTTTTCACTAAATGCTTTAATATTTTGTCCCCTTGCATCCTTCAGCATAGAATTTGTAAAACTCCAAGCAGTGAATAAAATTATTTAAATTTAAGGAGTAAAATGTTAAAGCAAGTGATATGTTATTTCTAAGTGCTCAAGTTTACGGTTAACAATATTGACACTGATAGTCACTTAACTATAATAGTTAAAATACTATACTTTTTTGTTGAACTCATTATCTATAGCTAAAGTGACGAGCCTTTTAAAACAATGAATTAGAAGTGAAGAGGACACAAAGGCTTTATTTTACTACACTGACATTAAGCTAAACAAATAAAAGTATCCAGTGATCGTTGTGACGAAAAAGCCAAACTTTAATGAATCATGTAACAATGTTTGCCGAATAATATTGACTGAAACATTAAAAATAATGTACGAATAATTGTAATACCCAAAAGTAAACTGTAGGTAAGTATGAGAAATTGTTTGGGTCAATCTCTATGGTGGCAGTATTCAACATGAAAATTTTAAAATAATCCAAATCTGGAGTTTTGAAACTAACCATGATAGTGTCATAGAAACCACTATTTTCTTAAAGTCTCAATCTCCGCTTTTGTTTAAAATTTTGTCTTTTTTAATAATAGGTTGTTATCTCAAGTGATTATGTAACCTCTCCAGGGACAATTATTCATAAACCAAATGAAGGAATGCCTAATTTCGAAAATAATAAGCGTCGGGGGTCTCTTTACATTACAATCGATGTTCAGTTTCCTGAAAACTTTAAAATCCCCGAAGATAAGCGTAAAATGATTACAGAACTTTTTCATTCATCCAGTACTAGCACCACCAATACTCTTTCATCATCTCAGCCTGATCAACCAACACCAGCCCAAATTTACAATGGTCTAGATGGAGGTAGCAAAAAGATAAATGTAAAAAATTAACTGTATCATTTTGGTTCTATGTGAACTACCCTGTTTGTGTTTTCCTGTATTTAAGAATCGTTGATTTATCCAACCTACTTTGTACAGCTGTCTTCTTCTACCCATTTATTTGTCTTTTTATGATATTTGCTGTTGTTTTTGACAAATTTTTAGACCTGTTTTTGATTTTATTAAAATATTCCCAATTTTGATGATACAAGTACAGCTGAATTCTGTTTTTTTGAAAAGTTGTTGGTAATAGACATTGAGCAGATTGAATTGATAGTTGATTTTTTGCTTGATAAATGCCAAGACAATTTATTGCAACGAGTTAATAGCTAAACAATTTAACTCATCATTTTTGTCTACGTAAATTAAAATGACAATTAAAAAAAATGCTCTTTTGTATACTTTCTGATCTTATGTATGTATATTTGATTAACATACAGTCTTCAATCCCCTTATCATATTGTAGCAAAGTGGTTAGTAACCATTTTAAAACCACCTCACAAACACCTAGTTTCGATTGCTTTTAAAAGCTAAATTATTACATATATTTTTCATCAGTAACGATGTAGTTTTTTATCTGGGATATAAATGGAGATCGATATGATATTAGACATTTGTGAACATTTATACTTAGTGCCAGTTGAATAATTGGTATCACTAAATCTGTTTCTGTTGTTATATTCACTGGAATAACGCACCCGAGGTCAATTAAAGTCGAAAGACCGTATTGGTTTCCCAGAATATATGTAAGTATATATGAATAATAAGTGACTATAAGAAATAATAATCTTTGATTAAAAAAAATTCCCAGTCAATGCGATAAACTTGACAACAGTCGGCTGATAGGTACTAAGTGGCGATTCCAATAAACCGGGGTGGATTAAGTGTGTATCAACCAATAAGATAACGGTTAGTTCACGATTAGACAATGAAATGCGAAAAAATAAACTATTGAATACAACGCTTGTTAATCACGAAAAGTACAGTTAAAACAAAACGAATCTCACACTTATGCTACGCAATGTCCAAGTCGTTTTGTGATCATGTATCTATCCATATGGGAGACTGTTACGTTTCATAACATTTTTTAGACAATAGTTTATGAATTATTTGGGTACTATGTTTTCGTTTAGTATTTATGGTACATTTATTTATTGAGTTATGTCCACTTTTATTGCTTCCATACCCTGTGGTGGTTGTGTTATTCATGGCAGGTTCAACAATAGACTATCGAACTTACATCTCGCAGTTCTGTCTCTTACTGTCTTTGTGGTTTTTCTGAATGTCATGTAGTTGGTCATATTTTTTATTTAATTGGACACACATCGGTATAAGGGGTCAACAAATACATATGTGCTACACAATAATGAGGTTATTAAGCGATAAAGTAGTAAGTACAATAAAAAGAACAGCAGCAATCAACAAAAATTAGTGTAGGGGAGTGAATTAATAATAGTGGGAGAAGCAGTTTGAAATATAACTAAAGTATCTGATGAAGTATGAGCAATACGACACACAGGCAGATGCCTAGCTGATATAGATTTTTAAATCTGAGGCAGATACTTAGTTTATAAAGAAGTCTTAATTCCTGTCAGCTAAACACTACAAATACAACACAGAGAACACCAACTTAATCACACTTGATGAAGAAACTCTGTAATAGGTGGAAACTCTCACGTACCCACTCAGCATCATCGATGAACGAGGAGGATCTGGTGCACACGTAAAGGCGAGGATTGGGAAAACAAGGACAACATTCCTACAGTTAGAGAACATGTGGAACTCAAAATAACTGTCAACCAATATCAAAGACAAGTCCTTCAATACGAACGTCAAGACAGTTGGTTCGATTGCACGGAGCTGACATTGCGAAAACTACTACAACCATCAGCAAAAAATCACAGATATTTATAAACAATTGTCTACGTGAGATACTCAGTATCCATCGATCGAATGCTGTCAGCAACAGCCTACTATGGGAGAGAACAAACCAACTCCCATCTGAGGAGGACATCAGGAAAAGACGTTGGGAGTGGATAGGACATAGATTGAGGAAATCACCAAACTGCATCACGAGTGAAGTGCTAAATTTGGATTCTGGAGGGAAACGGAAAAGCGGAAGACCAAAGAACACACACTGCAGCGAGAATTGGAAGGAGACATGAAAGGAATGAATAGCAACTGGAGGGAAGTGGGAAGGATTTTTCAGTACGAAGTTGGTTTGAGAATACTAGTGAGCGGCCTATGATCCTCCACGAGGTGTAACAGATGTAAGCAAGTAAGCTTGAGACACCAGTCTCAGAAAATACCTCACTAGTTAATTAACACTTAATTCCTTTCACTGATGGGCTTCGTGGTTTGCTAGTGTTGTATACGTTCAACATCATCTATCTATGGAAAAACATAGTTGAATCGATATTTCGTAATTTTAAATAGCTCCCTTACGCTTAGTTTTCATTCTATCACTTATCTTATTCGTGGGTCTATTTTTAGAAAAAAAACTCAATGGTTTTGTTCCAAAAAATAAATCACAAACATTAAGAAAGTTATTACAAACAATCCGAAGTTAAGGAAAACTCTCCATAAACTTATTCATAAAATGCTGAGACATTTAGGTGGAATAAACACCAACAAATCACACCCCTTCAAGAACAATTAAAGGTCAAGTTGTCTCAGTAGGAAGGTAGCTGACATTCTCTCCATTGACCTCAGTAACAGAATGTGAGTTACTTCATCACCACCAGGATGTTGGTACATCGAGCTTGCGAGTTCCAAGTAGTACGAAAAGTTTGTCCTGCATTTCACTACTAGCCATTATCCAACTTTGATAATATCAACATTTTCTTAAAAAGTTTTTATTAATTTCTTATATGATTCTAAAGTTAAGTTAACTTTTACAACGTATTTCGAGTGTATACTGTGATAATATCAACTGATATAAATAAAATAGTGAATAAGTATACATATTTGAAGTTCGTTTTTAAAATATGTATATATAATAAAAGTATGGTTGGTTTTATGAATTGGTGATTATGTACCAGGTATCTCGAACCTAGATTTCTTATATTATCACTCCGTTTAGTCATCCAATTGACATAGTAAAGCGACACCTCTCATAATCCAATGACTTTCTGGTTTATCTGATGTCAAAAGAATTGGTAAAACAAAATTTGTAGAATGTCCAGTTGTTGATAATACACCACGACGTTCACTTGTTTTGTAAACTGGTGCTGTATAACAAGGCCTTGATTTAATATCACTTCGTCTTATTGGTATTAACCAAATCTGTGAAAAATATTTAAAAAAAAGAACAATTTCAGTGTGAGACGAATACTTTAGTGGGGTTGCATTTAACTAATATTCATTTTGGCTCATTAGTTTTCTCACACCAAAATAATTTACTACTACATACAGTCAATATGATAATTTTGAGGGATGGATTATTAAGAATACTTTTAACACCTAGTATTCTTTATCTTTTAAGTTTACGTACAAGACATTTTCAGTGAATTTAAACAATGTGAAAGTTCTGGATTCTATTTTTTAACAAGATGGATGTACTAATAACAATTAGTATATCCAATCGCCGTTGGCAGTTATTTGTGTTATTGTTTGGGCGGTCATCGGTCTTATTAGTTTTCAGAGAACTTCTTATTAGTTGGCTCTATAATCTGACCATTCATTGATGTTGGGATATTCAATGAATCTGAAAGAAGTTGAACTAATAATAATGTGTGATGACATTCATCATTATCCAATTTTAAATAAAAGTGTGACGTTCTACATTTTTGAATATCTGTTTTTCTTTGTTCAGTTAGTGCGTTAGTAATGCATTTAAAAGTTTAATTTTTACTGGGGACTTCGTTTTTGATCATCTAAAGGTATATTCAATGAATATGCTAATGTTAAACATCACAACTTTGTGGACGAAAAAAAGCTTAAAAGTGAACGTTAAAGCTTGAGATGAAACCCTCATTGAAAAGTATGCCCTTCTAAACATTATTCATCCACTAAATGACCGAAAAAAAGCTAGATATTGAATATATATGGTGAACATTGAAGACCGGATGAGTTACAAACTCATGGACACAACCTATTTGTATTAACGTTTAAATGAATAATTTTATTTTTGTTTCAATCATTTCCTATGTAAATAAACATATAATTTTATTGTGTGCAACACTTACAGGTGGCATAGGATCTTGTAAAACTTTTGGTAAGGCTTCTGCTAATTTTTTTGTACGCCTGTCCCATCTTGCACCATCCACAAACAGACCGGATACATAAGCTCCTATTAGATGGAAAGAAAATATTTAATGATTTTGAAAAGAATTATAAATAAAAATACAAGATGAATTAGTGATAAATACAAATAATTATGCAGACTAAATGGAATGTGTCCAATGGGTTTCACTGATTCAGAGAACCGCAAGTTGTATGTCCTCATTTCCGTAGCTATTTGATTGGTCCTCCCGGTCTCCCACACTGTTCGAACATTCCATGTACTTATATTAATTGTTGCTCCAGTGGTTAGAAAGAACATCGGCCTCGTGAGTCCCGAAGAATCTCGGCTTTCACTATGAGGCGTCATAATTCTTCTGAATGAATATCCTTTAACTCCCAACACACATTTAAGATTGTTGAATTTGTTTATTCTGGTTAACGTTTTTTAGCAGTATTGTTTTCTACGGGATGGGAATGCTGACCTCATACTCAACCCTCCTTCTTTACCCAGGCTTTGAACCGTGAGCAGCCCTAGAAGAGTTGCATTTACTTGAATTTCGCATATGTTACTCTGGAAATCATTTACTTTATGAAACAGGCGGATGGCTGAAGGAAGGTTGAGTCAGTAACCGATGGATAGAAAAAACCTTCTTGTTACCTATGATTTACTGAGGGATTTCTCTGAATTCCCTTTAGAAATACAGATACACTTTAGATCGTAACTAAAAGATATTTCACTGATATATAGATTAGAAAATTCGTTGATAATAAATTGAAGACAAAATTCGTATATTTTTTTACAGATAGTTAGTTCGTTTCTTTTATTTAAATATAAGCTTGTTTAGCTCCTTGTGTTAAAAATAATGTCTTTAGTGTTATTCATATTATGAATTAGATATTTCTCAATTCACTGACAATATATAAGAACATGTATACTTTCTAGAAATTCTATGAATTAGAATTGTTTACCTTCTGATGGAGCATCTGTATATTTGATGTCATCTAATACTTCAAATTCAAAAGATAACAAATCAATAGGTATTGTGTGCTTTCTTGCATAATTTTGTTGTACACCAGTAAGAAAAGCTTGTGTAAAAAAGAAACCAGATATCCAAAATTCTGGTGGAGGTCCTTGTTCATACCATACCTAAAACATGAAATAATATTTTGAATAAAAGTATCGTATATCTGTATTAAGAGGAAATGATGATAATAATAACTTTTATCATTTAATTTTATGTTATTAAAATTACATATAAGATATCCTCTTTGATAGTAATACATTACAAAAACCAGATGTACTAGTAAACGATGAGAGAAAATAGGGATGAGTATTAAAAGTGACAAATCAAAATATGTATGATACCCATTTACAAAGTCGTTCTGATCTAAAAGAAGAATTATGGATCTTTCGACTATGATCACTGAGTAATCATAATAGGTTTATGGTTATTATCTACAATATTAATTTGACCGTAAGATAACTTCACTTAGTGTAGTGTTTACGTTTTATTGATTGCTCTTATAGAGCTATCACTTTTAAAGTTAAAATGAATAAAGATGCGTTTTGTACTGACTATTCACAATAGTGTTCTAAATCATTTGGGATCAACTTATGATATTTTATTATCATTTAACTACTATTAACTTTTGTTCATCTATTTATTCATGTAAGGGCAATCCAGTGCTTCAAGGTTTTCCATTGTGGTCTAGGTTCAATTGACTCATGATCTCAACCATTGAAATCATGTAACAGCTTATTTCAAAACTTATGATCTTCCATTACTATTTGAATAAACATTTCAAAGCATTTCTCGAAATACACCATTAAATTATAACATTTTATCTAATATCCTTAACTCGATTTAGATTCATGTCATATTTACTACAACATGCCAATGCGTGTTTACATTTGTAGTTTTGATCATTGAAATGAAAAAAAATTTAACAGTCAATTTATTAATATCTAATCGAAATCTAATTAATAGTTATATCATTTAACTCAATTTGTTTTTCCTACTTTACTCAAGTTATACATAAGATTTAATAAGTATACTTCAATCACGCTTGTGACTTAAGGCTATATCGAGGCAATCCGCACAGGATGCACATATGCCAACATGAGACTGATCAATTGCAGTCCTAAATAACAAATGGGAAAATACAAGTAAAACAACACCAAGTGAATTTTACTACAATAATTTTTGGTGTTTTCATTTTCATTGATAAGATTTTTATTAATCCGGAAACTGCATTTGAGTTTCTATTACACAATAGAATCAACATTTAACTTTAATTCAAGTGATCTAAAACTACTCATATTCAACAGTAGTATGTAGTAATCAAGTCGATCATGTCATGAATAATATGATTATAACCGAATATAGATACTTTTGATGAATAATTTTACCTGAAGAAATTTTAAACGTGCCAGAAAATCATTTACATATGATCCAAGTGGTTTTAATGATGGATATGATTTTTTCATCCATAATTTTGGAATTTTTGAAGCAAGTATTGCAGCCACTACATCTTCTAAATCAGATGACATAACCACTAAACCTTTAATAGCCAATCGAATATCTTTAAGACTTGAACGTATTATACTTAAGAGTACATTGAAACGAACCATTTCTTGTACTAATACTGTATTCATACTTTGTTCATAGCATGTTGGATACTTTCGTAATACTAATTCTGTATCAAAATTTAATGGTAGACGAGTTAAGATATCAGAAGCAACTCCATCAACTATTTCATCGAGTGATTTTCCAGATGATGATGTTCCTTTTGCCTGTTAAAAAAAATAATTAAATAGACATTTGGGTATTTTCGAAATCTTTGAAATTTTCAATAATCATTACATTTCATTGTATAATCAGTTAATTAATAATTCGATGAAATTATTAATCACAACTCGGACATATAATGAGAAATCTATTTTGTACATTCAAATTATTTAAAAGAAATAACTAAAGACGATCAACTCTCCGTGAATGGACAAGAAACAAGAGGTTTTTTCAACTTAAATGTAGATGGATTGTTCAAATTTTTATCCTTTACCAGGTTTTTAAAACAGAAGCACACTGATGAATTCATCTACGTTGTTTTTTTCGTTTGTTCTGATAGGTTGATGACTGATAAAATCTTAACAAGGAGAGATACTGCTCCTATGATTTTTTACCAAAGTTCATGTTTCGTAACTCAGGAAAGACGCGCATCTGTTTATTAGAGAATGGGTATCCTGTACAGCGATTTAGTTCATATGGGAAATGGAGTTCAAATTTGGAGAAGGTTACTAATGTATGATCAGTGGTAATGCTCACTTATAAAGAAACCACGAGTTGACCAGGCTAAACTTAGGGTTTTAAGCAGAAGAGGAAATTCGACAGACAAGCTGTGAATCCTTATAGACTAGATCGGTTGAGACAAGTTCTTCCTTTGCCTATCCATTCGTGGTTAGTATTGGTGAAACTGGAGAACATTAAAAGAAGGACAGAAGAAGATGTAACATCGGTCTAAACATTGATTAAATATTGGACTGAGTCATACTGTGAGGTGTCAAATGCAAATTAGAAATCCTGTGTGAGATGGATCTAAATAATCTCTCAGTCATGCAGCCGAGTCTGGATCTCACTTTTTTTAAATCTTGAGTTTCTTTTGGTATAAAGCGTTTTCATTCCTCTACTTCATCATTTCCTTTCTAAATATGAAGGCTGTTTGGTCTTTTGATGTAATTAACATTATTGTTTCGGCTTATTTAACTTTCATATTGTTCAGTTAATCCCACTGTGTTGATATGAAATCTGGTATCGCCAAAGAATGCTCGTTTGTGTCAGGTCCTACTTATTGATTCATAAATGTCTAACTGGTTTCTTCACTCTGATCCTAAATATATAAGCTAATCGAAGGACAGAAACTATGAAAAGTTACTAGCAACTAGCAAATAGATCAATAATTTAACTTATTTCAATTAAATGTTGGACCTTAATTTGTTATATTATGTCATTCTAATCCAGCTTACTTAAATAAAAGAATACAATAAGCCAAATGTAGATATTCTCAACCGAAATTATCTTAATGATGAAATTTAACCACTCCCATCAGAACATTCTTTCAAATGAAGATAAATGGTTGATATTAACAAATCATACTCCATATTAACTAGTCAGTAATAAGTAATCAGCGAAACAATAAAGTTTAACATAACAATGAAGCGTTATAGAACAATCTAGTTTAAAGCTTTAAACAATGAATGAGGGACCCATTAAATTATAAAGTGAACAACTTTCCAATAACTGATTGAATACAAATGTGACTATGAAAGTTCTTTTGAAAGAATTCGTAATCGATAAAAGGGTACTTGGTGTCAATGACTATTGATAAGAATTTTTGGAGCGAATAAGTTCATATTGTGTAAAATAAAGCTTTTAATTGTCAAAAAATCCTACCCTATTGAAAAATGAGATATGAATTTTTAGAAAGGTGATTACTCAGATTCAGTTAGTAGCCTATATGTGAACTAGCTCTTTAAATACTGTTGATTACACAGTCTTATTTAAAGTTTTTTTTGGATCAATGACTAAGTTTGCTGTGCTTTAATTTACAAAGCTTTTATATGACCTTCATTGTTTGTTCGAATTCAACGAATGAAGTATAGTTTAGAAACTGATCAAAACTGACCAGAATTTAATATTTATTAGACCAATATAAACTCAAAATAAGAGAAATCAAAAGTGGGCAAGAACAAACAATATTAAAAAGTGTAAAAAGCTGCGGATTCAACAGAAATGCACAAACGAGCATTGAAATAAGTTGAATTAGATCATAATAAACTAATTCAAAGTGTCTTCTAAACAGATTTCTGATATAGCGAACTATGATTAAATTGAATAAAGTGCAGATTACATCTGAAACCGGTTGTTTTCCAGTTATCTGTGACATGTAATCAGAATGGAAGCAAGAAAAGTTTCAGGAGAAAAATTTAATTCCACGATATTTTAAATGCGTTTGCACAGTAAGTTACTAGCTGATGTTAAATACTATTCAGTCCAATTTATATAAATCTCACTATAAGTAATTCACATAAAAAAGTAGTGTGTTCATAAATCATTTTGATTTATTTTGAAGAGTCAGATAAATTGATTTCAACAGTCTTCATTTCCTCACTACGCGTCGTCGGATTCGGAGTTTCAGTACCGAGCTGATATGATACCCAAAGGTTAGACCTAACAGTCAGGTCTTAATTGATCGGAGAATTAGTGACCTACAAACTAATATCCTCTAATCGCCTATGACATTTTATCATGTGTATTTTGTGTTCAGATGTTGAGTTCAATCATGTTATTATACGAAAAAAACTATTCATCGGGCTATTGGTTTCGTCTATAATTTTTAGTCGTTCGATGTCCTAAGTCAATTATATGGTCTCGTGGGTATCCATCGATCGATCACATTACATCATTGTGTTCATTTATCGACTAGCATTTTACCCATCGGTTTTAATAATCAAGATCTCACGCCACATAGAAAACGCACTCCATAAAAGTGACGACGGGGATAAAAATCGATTTTCAGAATGTCGATTTTTTATGGATGAGGGAATTCACTATTCATTCGGTTAAAACAATCGCAAATAAAACTTATTGAAATGTTTTTAAATGAGTAAAATCCTCAACGCCACGCACATATCATTAGTTTAGAATCTAATTCAGCCCAGAAAGAACGCATCACAGAAGAAATCTCAGTTCATGAAGTAATTCAATGATTTCAAGTAATGATACAACCAAGTCAATGGACAGTCTTGAAGTCACTGTTGTTTCAAATTCAGCCATAGCAATATGACTAAAATTTCGTGCAAATTTCCTCATTTTAATCTTAGAATCTCTAATTTTGATTATAGGACATTCATCTGAGTTAGTTAACTATTCCACATACAAAGCAATTTCCACTTTTTTATTAGTTTGCCAGGAATTTCACTGTTCAGAAGATAGATTAATGAATGAAATAAACTAGCTATTTCAGTCAGTCTTGAGTGTTGTTAAATGTGTGAAGGCGGTTATCATTTCCAAGTTGCTCACACCGTGGAAGGGTTCTTCTGGAGGTACATGAAAAGGAAATTAGATTAGGGGTGACCTCAGTGACCTGAGAGCGTTTGTGAGTAATTTTCGTGTTAGCTCCGTGCTTGTTGAGAGCTTACTGCCGGAGACGGATTTGCTGCTTTTAGTTTTACCATTTTTCAACCGACCTGTCTGGCATGGTAGGACCTTGAGAAACGATTGTTCCAACCAGTATAGCTCGATTGGTTCATCGTGATAGGCAAGCCCGACCACCGCATCAAGATAGCAGCAACGGTCAGGAAACTAGCTATTTAGGAACATTTAAGTATTTAGTAATTATTTTTCTGGTTAGTGTTTTGTAGCGAATTAGTTTTCTACGAGATGAATAAACAATACCAAAACCTTTTAAATATTATTAGTTGAGTTTTGAAATAATTCCATATTTTAAATTTGGCAAAAATGTATATTCTGGCAGCTTACTTGAGTTAAAAGTGTGCTTGTAAATATTAAATTGGTTTCTTGTTGATCTTTAGTAATATCAGCATTCTGGTGCATACCGAAAATTTCTGGATCAGGATTCAATGGAAGTGTTTTTATATAATCAATATAACCTTCATACTAAAAAAAGTGAAATACAATAATAAGAGTAGATAAATGATATAAATGAATTATCTGAAGTGATCAGAGTGAATACTCTACTAAGGAATTTAGATACTATTTAGAAAATAGAACCACTGGCCAATTGAATGAATATTTCAACCGGGTAAATAAAACTGTTATTTTTATACAATGTACGACATTGAGGTGAATTATCCGAAGTTGTATCATTGTATCTTAACAATTTGGTTGCAAGTTAGAGAAAAAAGAATCCAAACAACAACACTAGGAGTATCGAGGAAATAAAGATTAGAAAATACAGAGCGAAATAAATGAACAAAATCAGAAAAAAGTGACAAAATGTTTAAAATTAAAATAAAGAGGAAGAAGGTAAATAAATGAATCTTTACTGTGACAGAGTTAGCATCATGAGCACAACCAGGAAGACTGCATCTTCCGACATAACTTTGTGCAACAGAAAATTAAATCATCGGCTTATGCTATATCTCTAGCTGTTCATATCTAGCGATTTCCCAACCTACAACATTGCACTTCATAACAAGTAGTAGTTGGGGTAGTATGGTAAGTGTTTTAACCCTCGCAGTCTATGGAGATTACATTTTCATGTTACTAGCTAGCTACATATAACTTGAGCTTAACATTGCTATTCTTCACTGTGTGACCACATCATACACTAGCAATGAATTAGGACACTTATGATTCAATACAATTTTTCATGATCAACTAATAGACAGTTTTGGGAGTAACTGTTGTGATTTCTAATAGCACATGAAGTGCTAGTTTCTTTAACACTGAAGGCATGCCTTTTTGATGAGTCCCAACTAATGTTGAATCTTTATCTTACCTCCAACCACCTAGTATCAAGTAGTAATTATCTTACAAGGTAATTTGATGAAATATGGTAAATCATCCTAATATTTATGCCGTAAGTGCGTTAGATCATTTATTAAAACAAAATAAATTATTACTATTTTTAGTATAATCATACTTTCTATTATTTTTTTCAAAAAATATATGTTTAGTTTTTATAATGCACTAAGTGTTAGATAGTTTAAGTTAATTGACAAGAAACTAAATTTAAATAATCTTTCCATCTACCTTATTAATCCCTAATAAACTCTTACACTCTTTAAGTAAGTTTTTTTCTTCAGTATGAAGTTACTCGTTACTCGTATTCAATCACAGATATCTTAGAAATATTGCTCGCATCTGCTGGGATAACCGGGTAAGTAATAGTGAGGTTAGACGCAGAGTATTAGGGAATGACGGTAAATCAGTCGATGAGGTTGTAAATCTTCATCGACTGAGATGGTTGGGCCACATGTTACATATACATGAACACCGATTACCACGATGCGCAATGCTGACTAGTCCTAGTGATGGTTAGAAAAAAGTTAGGGGCAGCCAAACCGAAACGTGGCATCAGTGTTCGAAATCACTATATTCTAGTCTTAGCCATGTTGGCAGATGCAGACTACTTGGTTGGGGTCTGCGTGACTGTCGTTACTAATGGTTGGAGACTCTTGGTGACATGGCTCAGAATCGATCACAATGGCGTCGGTATATACACTCTTTGTCTTCCCTTAAACTATGTGATGGAAATCGCTTCATATCTTTCTTTCTACGAAATAATTATTTCTCCTTGATCCATATCCTTATACGCAATCTTTCTTTTATATATTACCACCATTGAATTAACTACTACTATAAATCCGATGTTCATCTTGTTGTGTTAATGAGTCATGGCAACTTGGACCGATGCATATATGTGCCTGGTTCTACGTTGTAGCTGACTGACTGAATCTGAAGTTAAAAACTCAAACTCTGTGGAATAAAATAAAACTTACTTCAATATCTTCAGGTGCATAATAGATTCCACTTGAATCGAATGGATGTTTTATTTCATTAACTACTTCTGGACAATAGAAGCGCATTAAAACTGTTTTTAAAGTACGCCTATCCCATTCATCAGTAACGCGACCACCATAATTACATTCTCCAGTTAAATAACGTAATGCTTCATATTGGACGTCCTACATAAATGAAATATAAGTAAAACTTTGAATAGCAGTTAACAATAGGTATTATAATAGTATAATTTATATTAGACTAGTTATATAAAAACAATAGACTGAAGAAAGCAATCAATGCTACTACCCATCAGTCAGCAACAACATAGAACTTCGTACGTACGTACATCAGTTCAAGTTACCATACCGCATTAGCAGAGAGGTACAACTGTCGATTCGAATCTCATAGTGGTCGAGGCATTAAAAGTATAAGCACATTAAGATGTCCAACATTATTAGTATTTCTCGACCTTAAGGCACCATTCGACTCTGTTGATCGTGATGTTCTATGGCAGTGTTTGTCACTGAAAGGAGTACCGAAGAAGTACATTAACCTTATTCAGGCTCTCTACTCGAACACAACTGGTAGAGTGAGAGCTTATGGCGAACTATCATCAGAATTGATTACCTCAAGTGATGTTCATCAGGTCTATCCACTCTCTCCATTCTTGTTTAACTTTGTCATTGACGTATGTCTAGAGATAACACTTTCCTCATCTAAATTTCCAGGAGTTGAACTTTTACCAAGTGATTCACTTGCTGACTTAGAATATGCTGATGACTACTACTACTACTATCATAAAAGACTTACATTTGAAAATTAAAAGTATAATTAATATTCATTATAAATCAATATCAACTAAACAACCTATCAGGCTCGTTCGTTCACAGTATATATCACTGAAATAGACGTATCTAAAATTTTGTATAAGCAATAAAGATTTGTATAAAAAAGGCTAGAAACTAACACTGTACTGTCCAAGAAACATGTGTAACTGTTGAACTGATATACGTAAATCTGTTTCATTAAATTCATAGGGTGTATTCCAACCGAGTGGTCCAAATTTACGTCTTTCTTGTACAATAGCATGAAAGAATACTAATCCAAATAATAATTTTTTCCAAGCATGTTTATTTGAACATGACTGAAAGAATTCTTGATCTGAAATTGGATCGCTTAAATATGATCTCCATAGATTAAAACGTAAACCTTTCGGGGGTTCATTAGTCATTTTAACACCATTTTGTAAAATTGATACAGGGAAATCTTTACTCGGATAACTTGTCAACCATAAACGAAAATCTGGATGTGTTGTGTCAGGATTAAATTCTTCCACTGTTTTCTCTAAAATACCCATCCAACTTGGTGCTAGATGACAATTTTGTAATAATACCCATGTACCATCTTTTATACCATGTTCTATCATTTTTAAAGCTATTGGACCTTGACCTTGACCAAGTGATAGTGATTCAAATTTTGTACCACCAAATCCCATATCTTCAGCAAATTTTAATAATGCTACCATAGGATCAGCACCAGGTGATAAAACAAATAATAACGGTACTGTACATGAAGAATCAGAAAATGCACCTGGTAAATCAAATGGTGGCGGTTCAATGTATTTCTTGCCTAAATTTGTTAAAACAAAATTCTGTATAGCTGGTACAATTTTATCTGGTCTTAAAACACGTAGTATACAAAGAAATTGCAATTGTGTTTTAATGTGTGTTAAATCATCTGGTAATTTTTCATTATGTGGTTCAACACTATCATATATACGTTTCCATGCATTAAGATTACATTCAAAATGTTCACGTATACCAGTAAAAACATTGATTTGATCTAGCCGACATAATTCATCCCATGATTTAGTTTGTAACCAATTTGATGGATTTACATGTGGATTATCTAAACCGACACCACCGGTTAATAAAAATCTCCATTCTTGTTCATTTAACAATCCTTCATGACGAAGCATATTTATAGAAAGTAAGAATGAAAATAGTAGTTTGTCTTTTTCAAATAATGATCGACATACATTACAATATAATGAATATGTTAAATAATTTCGTAGATTAGTTAAACGTTGTTCCAAATCATCAGATTTCTCAGAATTATCAATACCCATTATGAATAGATTAATAAACCATGTTAATGAATATTGATACATTGGATCAATATTAGCTAAATCAGATATTGAAAAGAATAAAATAGATGTATGTACAGCAATTGGTACATAACCTAAACGTGCTATATCAATTTTTTGTTCAGTTTCTTCAAAATATGCTTGTTTCTCTGCTATTTCATTAGATAATTCTTTAGATGAATTCAATACTTTAATAGCACTTTCATCTTCTAATATATTGCCTTCAGATGATGATAATACACCAAGAATTTGATCTTCTAATTCTTTTAATTTTTTTTTATTTGCAGCACCTTGTAATATTAATTTATTTTTTTCTTCTTCTAATTCTGGTCTTTCACGTGCAACTACAATACCCAATAATTGATCTTGTAAACCTTCTTCAGTAATCATAAAATTCACTAAAGTTACTTTAACTGAAGTTTCTGGTAAATAATGAGGATTTCTAAGCTGAAACATATCGAGTGAGAAAGAAATGAAATTTAGAAAAAAAAATAATTCAATACTATGAAGAATTTTGAAATACAGTAGGTTAAAAAAAAGTCAACTGTAAGTCAGTCATAAGTCAAGTAAAGTTTAACTGCTTTTAAGTAGTATAGAAAACATTAGTAAAATATCAGATTCTTACTGACATTGTGTTCAATGAATAATGATATTCACTCATTAATATTTTACAGCTTTTTATATCTAATTTCAATGGTTAAGATCATGAGTCAGTTGAAGCTAGACCACCATGGAAAACCTGGAAGCACTGGACGGCCGTTTCGTCCTATTGTGGGACTCTTCAGCAGTGCGCATTCACGACCTCGCCTCCTGAGAGATTCGGACCCAGGACCTACTGGTTTCGCGCGCGAGCACTTAACTACTAGACCACTGAGCCGGCATCCAACGGTGTTAATGTCTAACTTCAACTAATCCACGAAATTGAGCGACACATCCACCATTGCCTTCAGTGAGTTACTATCTCACAACAGACCTGGTTGAACTCTACTGGTCACTACTTTTTATATCTCCTAGGGATTTGTAAGGATTATTGTGAATAACTTTACAGTTCCATATGTCTTATATCTCACTATATTAAATCTTCTAAAGTGCTACATGAAAGGTCTTGCGCATATATATATCCAAAGGGATAGTATAATTTTGTTGGAATAAAATACTTAATAATGTACAAATAACATATGTTTCGTCCACGAAAAATTAAATTTTGATTTATATTTTGAATAATGTTTGGCATTGAAATTAAGGGTTTATCCCCCCATTATTTGAGATTGTCGAAATTCATGTCCTCACTTTCTGATGAATCATCAACCCAGGACCATCGATTCAGATACCACTGTGCTATTCAGAGCATAGTTTTGAATATCATCAGAAAGATATAAATAGTTTTGCTATAAGTGTATATTATACTCAATGAACAAGTTGTGGTCGTTACAACTACAATAGTCTAGTGAATACTTTTTTTGTATATGAATCAATATGTATTGAATTTAAGTTTCAACATCAGTACTAGGATGTACGTATTTCAGAAAACGAGTCACAAATAGAACAAAAAGCGTGTAACTAATTAAAATGGTATGCACTATACTCAATATAGTAAAATTATAAGTTTAGGTGACGAGGCGATTGTTTAGGGGACACATATACGAAAAGCAAAACTAATCATTTGAATTCTCAATTGTTAACAATATGAAAAGTAGTCAAGGCGGATATTTACTAAAAAAAAATTCAGTATTCAACTTTTTAATACTAAAAAAAAGCATTTCACATTTAAACTAAATTCTCACTTTAGTTGTCATATAAAAACGAAATTCCGGTGAATATTCAACAATTGAATCACCAATTTTAATACATAATGCACCGCCTTGTTTAAATGTTTGTTTTAATAATAAAGATTCTAACATTGGATCTAATTCTTCACCAATATTTTCTAATAATACTGGGGTACCAAATTGTATACAATTTTCTAATGTACGAACAAAATCACTATCAGTTAATTTGATAATTTGTAAATTATTCTTTTTCTCCATATTTTTTATCCATTTATTAGCTTGACTAGTCGGATCAATCATTAGTGGCCAACGTCTTGCATTACTAATAAGTAATATGATGTAAAGAATAAAAAACAATAATTACAACTAAATAACATAATGAATAAATAAAACAAGAAAATGATAGAGACTATTCCAGTTGAAGTTAGCTTCCATCACGTACTAACTCAAATCAGTCTAAAAGCTAGAACACAGCTATTCCTTTCTGATATGGGATGGAATATGACAGACTCGATGTTCGAAATTTATTCTGCTCACTACGAAACCAGTCGTTCTTTCGTTCTGTCCGTAGTAAGGTTATACCTGTATGTGACTGATTGGTCGTGTATAATTAAAAAGGGAAGGTTTTATAGTGTTTAGAGGAATATATATATGGCAACCAGAAGTGATCTAAAGGTTAAGTGCATTTCATTGGGATCAATGAGTCAATTTTCTAAGGATATATATATATATATATATATATATATATATATATATATATATATATATATATATATGAATGAGTATTTGTGCATTTTGTTCGGTAGTCTATTACAGTTCTCACTCAAGTATTCAGTTGGGGAGTTTGAACATAGCATACGATGTATCAGAATCATATTTTCGGACACTGTCAGTCAGAACAATATTATTTACAGTTAGCTAATTTTTGAAAAACAAACGTATGAATAGAGTCACCAGTCTATTGTTGTGATTACAAATTTAGTTTACGCAAGCCTCTACATAGTTTTCTCTAAAATGTTTATCTTTACTCCAATGTTATGAACTATTTATGAAATTGAAACTAAGTAAGTAATCGGTTCTCGAAAGCCACCGTTTAAAATCCATCTAATCCTTACAATTTTCGTTGAATTTTAATTAACATTAAGAATAAAAATACTATGATAATTTGATTTATAATAGTGTATGTTTGGATGAAATATTATATTTAACCCATATGTTTTATAGCAACTATCCTACAACCAATTTCGATTAGGGTTGATTTTGGTTAAGCCATTTGATTAACTTACTTAGCTGAATTTGAATAGTACCAATTCGCTTTTTTTATACCTTTATGATCACTAGATCACATGGCAGACTCTAGCCAAAATGTTGTTTGCTAAAATATCACTTAATAATTCATCCTCCTCCTCATGTATATGTGCAGTCAAATCATAATATTAGATTTTTTCGGTTGAAATCATGAGTCAATTGAAGCTAGACCTCCATGGAAAACCTGGAAGCACTGGACGGTCGTTTCGTCCTAGTATGAGGAGTCCCATACTAAAACGAAACGGCCGTCCAGTGCTTCCAGGTTTTCCATGGTGGTCTAGCTTCAATTAACTCATGATTTTAATCAAAAGCTTAACAACACCAAAACTGATATTAGATTTTGTTTTGCCTTGCTGCGCCCTTATGCAATTTGACTAGAAATTTTCCTATGCAATTGCTCGCATTTACTTATACTTATTCGCCTCTCTGCTTCAAATTTGTTCGATGTGCTTATAGATTTGCAACCTGGTCTATCCGCCAATACGTTTTAGTTGACACTTCTCGTTTCCTTCTGATTTCAAACACCGCTGAGATTGATATAATAACGTTTATCAAGGTGGTGAATAAACGAAGCAAAGCCCCTACAATTTAATTAGTTTAACAGGATTTCAATGTATCAGAGAAACTGCAAATTTCATCATCATTTTCTAAGTGCATTTTCGATAATCATTATAAACTTAATGTTTTTTTTTTCAAAACTTCATTCAGAAAAACTATTGAGTTCAGCTACTGTGATCGCATTTTAGACTTAGTTAGTCCGATTTGATTAGGTGAAAAATTGTACAAAGTAAATATTCTTATAACCCTCGTGTATTTATTTAGGTAAAAGGGTAGATTTTTGTATTGAGTAAATAATCCACTTATCTACCGAAGTAAGACATTATATAACGTGTTTAGCTTGTTTAATATGTCAAATGAAATCAGACTTTTAAAAGATACACGTTAAACTATTCATGATCATAACGTGTAGTTTAACAATAAGACTTCAATAATCAAAGCTCGAATAAAAAAAACAACTTCAATTAGTGACAAATATAATAACTAACAATACATTTTAGTATTCGAATTAAGAATAAAGATGGCGGAGAAGATTTGAAGCTCAGGTGGATGATTTTGATGGAGTTTTGTTCTCTGAGCTGGATGGTTTGATCGTGGGGCTTTCATCGTTCTTCTGAACGACATCATCAGCACAAACTTCAGATTGACCTTAAATTGGCCATTGTTTACTTCTAAGAACCAATCAACATTGAGGTGCACAAAACAAGCTGTGAAACACATATGGAGAAATTCGAACACTTCACTTCTACCTGAAGTTTGTGTTGATGATGTCGTTCAGGAGAACGATGAAAGCTCCACGACTAAACCATCCAGCTCAGAGAACAAAACTCCACCAGAATTAAGAATAAATTTAAGAAAAAAGGAGTATGGAAGAAAAAACAAAAGAAAAAGAAACACAATATAACTTACGCCATAATGATTCCATTTTCAATTGAAAAATCATCTGTTGGTAAACCAGCAATATTCCATGCTCTAACATCAACTGGATTACCTAATGTATGTACTAAACTAAATGATTCTGAACATGGAATTGAATATTTCATAATTTCATTTAACCAAATTTTCACTTGTATTTGACGAAATGTTGATGTAAATGCACCTAAATAAGCAACTAAACCACTAGAAATAAGTATATCACCAGTAAGATTTATATATTGTTTACCAAGTGATTTAGCTGCATCTGTCCAACGTGATTTTTCACCACCTAAACCACCAATTAATTGTTCAGCACGTTCTAATTTCTTTGTACATAAATCAACTTTATTTTCTAAATCAATTTTTTTACGTTTATTCATTTCTAAATCATCTGTTAATAATTTTAAACGATCTTGTACTTCTTTAAGTGCTGCACGTTTTATATTTAATGCATTCATTGCTATATTATATTCAGACATAGCTTTAGCTAATGCTTCTTTTTTAGGTGCTACAATTTTTGCTACTATATCATAACGTTCTATAGCTATAACCCATTTACATAAACCTTCACATGCTGTTGAAGCAACTGCAACACGTTCTGGTTTAAAATCAGGATTTGGTATATAACGTTCACGTATTGTTTTCATTATTGTTAATGGTATATTATCTTTATCGAAATTTTTTAAATTTTCTAAAAATTTCATATCACCAAGTAATTTTTTTGATGGACCCCAAAAATCTTCAATTTTTTTACCTGATCCACTAGGATCATTTATACGATCAGGTTTAATACCTTTTAAAACACAAACAGCTTCCATAACTAAACGTACACCAGCTGGTGGGGATTTCATTGTTTTAACAATAGTAATATCCTGTTAAATAAATTAAAATAGATTGAATATATGTAATTAGAAATTTTAATTAATAACTTTATATAATAATAGTATGATAAATTTGTAAGTAAAAATTAGTATAACTCGTAGACTACCGTAGATAGTCATTACAATTTTATCAATTAGTTCTGATTGTTATGACTTTATGTCCGGCTTTTTATCACGTGATTTATCCACCGATCAAAATACGACTTACACAATCTTAGCACTGTGCCGAAACCAATGATGTTCGACCGGTATAGGCAGTCTAGCGTTCTTATTGGTCCTATGTCCGCCTAGCCCGTCCATTTGAGTTCGGAACAACAATACCAGCTTCCACTATGCGTATTAGTCTCATGATCTCATCTATTGAAATTAGTACAATCTTCACAAAACGCCTTCTGATACTAAACATAAAAGTATTAATTTTGAATAAAATAGCACACTTTCATGCAAGATTAATCCGTTGATTTCTCATGATTTAGATTTTATTTCCGTAATTATACAAATTATGTACACTTCATCGTTGGTTGAGGTCAACAAATAACTAAACTAATTATAATCAGACATCTTACAAATTAAGTAGTCTAGGAACCTTATCGTTTTTGGATTTGATGTAAATTTTTAAAATGAAACTAGAAGTAATTTGTGTTCATGTTTAAATATCTACGTAATAAAGAAATTAAGTAATATATTTAATAGAGTAAAAGAAATTAGTTTAAATTGAAGGAAGTTCTGTTGGAATATTTTCGGTCTGTAAGTTGAATGGTTTGGTTATCAAGCTTTCATTATTCTTCTAGATAAAATAATCGCCAAGTACATCAAAGAGAAGTGAACTGTACTTATTTCTCTATAAATCATTAACAGCTTGTTGTATTGAAATAAAGTCTGGTGCGCTCTTATCTATAACTCTACGGTGATCGTTTGTATATTTGTTTAGATTTTCTTCTCTCATGATCTGAACTGTGAGTTTCCAATTGTTAGTCCTTTATCTAATCGGTTGATAGATTTAGTTGATTTTATTGTGTTTAGTGATTGATGCTTGATTTGATTTACAGGTTTCTAACCATCCTCCGTTTTTCTTTGTGTTTCATCTATTCAATATTTAGAGGTTTTCACAATCAGACTCATGTTCACGGTTATTCACGTGCATTAAAAGGAAAACGACGTTATGTATTGTAATTTAACAGCTGATTGGTGTTCATGCAGTCGTAGACAAAGATGTCGGCTACTTCGAAGATATTTTTATGTTCGTCATGAATGTACAATTTTTATTCATGATTTCAAACTAAGGCGAAAAAATCATCTAATGATTTCGTACTTTTTTTGCTAATTTATTGGCTGATTCTAGCTCCATGATGAAAAACAATAAAGTTCATCATTTAGTAAATATTTTTGATATTATTTAACTTACAGCCGGTGTCAGTGTTTCCAGAGCTTTTAATGCCGATTCTAATATTGGTATTGCCTCAGCTAAATCATTATCACATTCTTCTTTCATTGTTTCAGCAGCTTTTGCTTGTTCACCAGCAACCGCTTCATCAACACGTACAAGTTTTTCTTGTTTAGCTGCTTCAGCACTTTGCTGTTCCACAACAATCATAACTTCATCAACTTCTTTACTGGCTTGTACAAGTTTTGGTTGAAGTGATTGCAGTTCCACTGACATCAAACTAATCTCATTAGCTGCACTACTTAATTTTTCCAGACCAACTTCATAACGACTTTTTTGAGTTAATACTTCCCTTGAAGAAAGAAATAACAAAACGAAAAAGTAAATGTTTGAATTAATCCAAAGATTTACATGTTAGAAAAATAATTATGCTGTAGAGATGTATGACATTTATGTGAATAATCAATGATCACCTGATAGGTGTCTAGTTCGGAACCGGTCACACCTATTTGGTTTTACGAGACTATGATAACTGAACGTCACGCAATAGGTGTAACCTAGTTATTCAGTCTGGAGTATTAAAACATTATTCAATATAATTATTTGTTTTAGATTGTTTTCTATAATAATTTCAATCTTAATAAATGCTTAACATTAGAAATGAGATTTCTAATATGGTAGTGCACTAATTTTGACATTATTTACATAAGCAAATATTCTTTTTATTGTCATTACTGAAAGTAATTATCAGTATGGGGTTGTGGAGATTATGGAGTTTTTGATCGAGATCATAGATCGTTCAATTTTAGACCACCACTGAAAACGTGGAAGCACTAGACAGCCGTTTTGTCTCAGTGTGAGACTCCACAGTACTGCTTATCCACGATCCCTCACGCGGTATTGGGACATATGGTCTCGCGAGCAAATACTACCAGGACGAAACGGCCGTTTGGTGCTTTCAGGTTTTCAATGGTGGTCTAACATTGAACGATCTATGATCTCAATAAAAAACTTCATAATCTTCACAACCCCATACTGATAATTACTTTCAGTAATGACTTGATAAAAAGAATACTTCCTTATGTAAGAAGTAGTCATCAGAATGAACAAAATATGGGATCACTTTCGACATCTTAATTTCTACTGTTGTAAAAGTCAATATATATTGTTTATTGAATTCTACCGAAATTTTAACATGAAGTTTGAACTATCATCATAATGCGATTCTTGGTACCATACTGTTATGTCCCGACAAGAATAATGAATGGTAACTTTTGGGATCTATTGATGGACCAATACTAAACGTATATTTTTATTGTATAATTGCTAAGTAACTAAATTGTACATATTCATATTCCTCTTATTATAAGCTTTATTTTGACCCATAAACTACTATTATACGTTTTTACCATTCTTGAGTTATACCCAGTATATTAATTACTACCTCCCTCATTCACAAGCCACATCTGGCTAATTCTTGTACAAATGTTGTTTCATATTTTATTGGTACGTTGTGGTGTGTTTGATTGGCATATAAACTCAGTACGTTTGAAATATAAGAATTCATATCGCAGAGGCTGAGATTGGTTTTCTGGACTTAACTGGCTGGGTTAGGCGGAAAGCAGGACCAGTCAAAACTCCAGACTGCTCGCATGTGTTTTACACGTTCTTGGTTCGATCGATAATTCGCTGCTTCTGATTGACGGCTTTGAAGCTATAACACATACTTACATCAATTTATTTAAATCTATATGTATAAATTAATTGTGAAGTTGATAAAACAAACATTTTGACTTCATATTCATTTCAATCAAACGTTGGAATAAGTTTTAAAATGTTATCGTTGATAAAGTTATTGCATTACATTCAGTGATTACGTGATCATAATTTTGTATTAATTGTTGCAAAATAAACTTGATTTATTTAGATGAATTGAAAGATGATTGAAATTCGTGATCATAGTGGAAAAATTAACCTTTAAATCTGTTCTAATCTAGATATTTCAGTCAACAAAAAGAGAAAAAACTTGAATAAAGATAAGCCTTCTTGTTTCAAAGTTGGTCAATCATATACAAGTTAAAAATTGGCTTATATGTATGTTGGTTCAAATGACCACATTATATCATCACAGCGAGATACCAGAGTAGTAGAAGTAATGAAAGTATCAGTTGTGTTAGAAAACATTAGGGATAGACAATATAATTAAAGAGGAAAATATGAATTCGTGGAATTTAAACATATAAGATAAATTTAAAATTAAGGATTCAAGAGAAGACAAAGAGTGGATACATCTTCTTTTAACTAGAAATTATGGAGCGTGTTATCCAACGTCTTTAGGCATTGGCTAAGACTTTAGATAGATAATCTTCACTTACAAATATGATTCCGTCCAACAGTCAATGTATTCATGGACCTATGACACATCTTGATTTGACCAATCTTACACAAAATGTGATTTCTAAGAAAAATTAACGATCAATTTTTAAATGTGGCATTATCCATCAACTAGGGTAGTTTACAAAGATAATTCATGTATTCAAGAGTGCTATTACAAATCAAAGTACCCTGTTACATCAAATCAATTAATTTCAAATATAATACTTATACTTTATGCAAAACAAGAAAAAAAACAACAATGAAATATGAAGCACGGGATACAGTGGACATCTAGGATGCAGTTGGACGATCTAGACTTCGCAGATAATCTGGCTCTTCTATCGCAATCGCAACAATAAATGCAGGAGAAGACGACCAGTGTAGCAACAGCTTCAGAAACAGTAGGTCTCAATATACAAAAAGGGAAAAGCAAGATTCTCCGATGAAACACAGCATGCAACAATCCAATCACAATTGATGGAGAAGATTTGGAAGATGTAAAAATCTTTACATATTTGGGCAGCATCATTGATGAACACGGTGTATCTGATGCAGATGTGAAGGCGCGGATCGGTAAAACAATAGTAGCAACTGAAGAACATCGGGAACTCAAAAGAACTCTCAACCAACACAAAGGTCAGAATTTTTAATACAAATGTCAAGACAATTCTACTGTATGGGGCGGAAACCTGGAGAACTACGAAATACATCATCCAGAAGATCCAAGTGTTTATTAACAGTTGTCTACTCAAAATACTTCGGATCCGTTGACCGGACACTATAAGCAACAACGTACTGTGGGAGAGAACAAACCAGATCCCAGTGGAGTAAGAAACCAGGAAGAAGCGCTGGAAGTGGATAGGACACTCATTAAGGAAAGCACCCAACTGCATCACAAGACAAGCCCTCACATAGAATCCTCAAGGCCAAAGGAAAAGAGGAAAACCAAAGAACAAATTACGCCGGGAAATGGAGATAGGAGGGAAATGAACAAGAATTGGATTGAACTAGAATAGAAGGCCCATGATAGAGTGGGTTGGAGAATGCTAGTCGGTGGCCTATGCTCCATTAGGAGTAACAGGCGTAAGTAAGAAATTAAAGTTGATTTTTAGAAGGTATACACTCAACAGTTTGAATGCACTTATAAATGAATGAAGCAATTAAATTACGATGAATTTGAACATTATAAACTGAACCTGTAAATTGATAACTTGAACTACAAACTTCAAGGTACATAATTTTACATTTCAACAAGAAAAAACCCAACAAAACTACATAACTTACGTTCGTTTTTTTGATAATAATGTTATAAAAGTTGTAATTAATTCAAGATATGATGTAGGTGTTACATAATTGTGTCGATCTAATTCTAATAGAAATCGAGTTGATAGATTACATGTACTAGTATGAAAATATTTACATAAATCAATACATCCATTACGAATTTCATCTGTCATATCAATATCTTTTAATGAACGTGTAGCAACAGCTGTTAAAGCATCTTCTGGCCATGCCTTTTAAATTATTGTAAAGAAACAAATTCATAATAATAATGAATAAAGTTTAAAGAAAAATATTAATTTATGATTTGTTTATGTAATCAATGATCAACATTAAGTACGGGTTTACTATTTCTACATTAAAATTGATTTCTAACATGGAAGTATAATGGGTTCATGTATACATCTTAATGGAACAAAGAGATTATTGGAATTGGAGTATTACTTGAAGTTTATGATATCTGATATTATCTAAACAAAATAATAAATGGGCAATGGATAATCTATTGAATAACTAATTCGTCATTTGAAGTGATGGGTACTAGGTAGAATTTTAGTGAAACGAGAAACATTAAGATGAAATGACATCTATTGCAATTGTTTCACAAAAGATGAAAAATGAATCTAGGATTCTACCTCTTGTTAATATGTGAAGTTGAACCGACTCATAAGTGCATCTAATATAGACGCATTCAGTGAAAGAGCGTGTATACCAAAAAGGAAACTAACCAATTTAGTTCAGAATATTAACGGTAGGAAAGTGTTGACTATTTCAAATAATCATTATCTATTTAGAATAGATGGATCATGGTTAGTAACAGAACTCAGTACGTACGTTTCCGCCTACTTGGGATACATTAGTTGAATGAAGTCGCAAAAAAGTGTTGATATTCATATCCAGACTCGAACCCAGTACCTTCCTCTTCAAACGCCACTGCCTTATCCACTAATCTCGGTGGGTCTGATGTTTATATCATGGTTAGTTTTCGTTCTTACTGTTAACCACAAACCATCTATTCTAAATATTTTGTGACATAATGAGTATATTGAGGGAATCTACACAGGATCCACAATAAACAATAAAGATTACTCAAACCTTAACTAACAATGATTTAATGATTAACTTAGTTTGGAAAATAATGACCATTTTCTAATACAAGTTAAATAAGTAATCATCTAACAACTTTATCTCAGCATACAAATTTATTTATACTAATATCGATTTTCATTCAAATATTTCTAGTAAATCTAAATTTCGGCTTAGAATACTTGGTAAATTGCTGAATAAAGGTATGGCAGAATTAAGTTGAAATAGAACTTAAATACAGTCATTACAATACTTTAATTATCTTTGTAACATCGTTTGGCTACATAAATAGTTTTGATTAATTCTTTAGTTAAACAGCCGTTGAAGACATGGGAGTACGGAACATCTGTTTCGTCTTATTATGGAACCCCTCAAAAGCGTGCATCCACGACGGGGGAGCGAAACCGGGACCTTAAAGCCTCATAGCTTAGCATTATTACTCTGAGAGTTACCTCTAGAAGTTAGTCACTAGCGGGGAATCAATGATTTCCCCCCACTGATTCTGACTAAAGTAAAATAAAACATATTTATTAAGGAAAAACACCATGGTTGATTACCGAATATGGTGCAAAAATCAAACTGCTAAACGAAACTAAAATTATTTTCAACTGTCTGGATCAACGATTAAGAAACGACTATTTGGTCTTTTTTGATCTTTGACATAATTTCTCCATCATGATATTTATTTTTGAATGGAACTATTTATGTAATTAGTCAAAATTGATAAAACAATTTTGCATACATTTCTAACTAGATGAAGAGATGATGTGTCCCAGAATCTTGACTGAAAGTAGCCAAGAGAACTGATCAAACTGAAATAGATGGTGACTGAAACATATCATCAGTTAACTGGAATCAGAAAATGTTAGATTACTAGTTTTTCTTAGTCAGTAGTTTACCGTTAACATACGTTCAACAATAAGTTTTAAACCATCTGTATATCATCCGAGAATGGATCGATGAAATTTATTCCTTAAGAGTCCAAAATTAGGACAAAATATCTTTAATGCTTTCTCATTTCCAATAGTCATATAAATATTATTGATTGATAATAAAACTTTCTGTAGAATAGATGGATTGTGGATTCTAGTGACATCCAGGATGCAAGTTTCAATTTGTTTGAAACTCGTCACTTGTAAAGTAGTTTCCCTTTACTAAACTAATTGAAATAAGAATAAGGTTAATTGTTCTAATATGTTCTAATAGTAATATTCATTTTACGAACTATTTGATTCTAATTAAAGACCTTTACAATGAACAACGTAATGAATGATTGTTTTGTGTACATAATCATATGTAGTAGTTACATAAACTCAAATTAAATAACAAGTAAGTTGATCACACAATTTAACTGATGAATAAAGGTTGAATTGAGTATTACTTCTCTCGTAGCTTTCATTATCATTCTATTCATATCGCGTAGATTAGCGGTTTAATATAATATTTTTCTAATCAGTCAGTACCTAATTATCGTATAGTACAATTGGCATACGACTTTTATTCATCATTAAGTACTAAAAAGAATCATTAGTAGTTTGAATGACAGTAATAATTGTGATCAATTTACTGATGTTATCTTTCTAAATATTCATTCAGCCCGACAGTCTTTACATACACTTTACTGATGCTTAACAACGAATCTGAAACCTAGATCGAAAGGTTTCTGTCAACTAACTTTTATATCATGTATACAAACGATTGAACAGAAAAAATTTGTTCATCAATCAATAGGATTAATGAACTGTTTATTACTTTACGATCTTTGTTTTTAATCTTATTCAATGATTTGTTATCTTAAAAGTGGATATTATTAATTGATAATGCATTTTGTGTAGAAAATGACAACTGTAATTCTCTAAAGAAATATATTTATTCATTTGGCTAACAATAACTTCATAATCGCATTAAAATCTATTCAATTAATCATTTATTGTAGGTTGATTGTTTGAGTTAATTATCAGTTTAACTATCATAAGGCTACCAGTATCATGAATATAGTAATAATTACAGCAATCAGTCAGTCAGTCAGCTACAACGTAGAACCAGGCACATATATGCATCGATCCAAGTTGCCATACCTCATTAACACAACAAGATGAACACCAAATTCATAGAAGTAGTTACTTCAATGATGGTAATATATAAAATAAAGATTCCACATAAGGATATGGATCAAGGAGAAAGAATTATTTGGTAGTAAGAAAGATATGAAGCAATTTTAATCTCATAGTTTAAGGGAAGACAGAGAGTGTATACACTTAATTATAGCAATAATAATAATAATAATAATAATAACTCTAATTATAATTTACCTGAAACCAATCAATTGTACAACAATTAACTAATGAAGGAAATTTTCTTAAACGATTTCTAAATGAATCACCAATTGGACTTAATGCTAATACAATATGTAATTGTTCACGAACACGTTGTATAAAATAATTAAATAATGCTACTGGTGAACCATCGGTTTGTTTATTTCTATCTCTTGCTCTATCAATTTGACGTATTTTTTCACATAATTCCATTTTTTCATCAATTGCATAAAGATTAGGTACTTCACCAGCATTTAATAAATTATTTATATCTTCTAAAAAACTTTCTTGTTTAATTTGTGTATCAGTAAATAAGAAAATAGCATGATTATCAGTTTCACTTGATTTTCTTAATATATGCTTTAAATCTTCTTTCCATTCATTAACACCATAACTTTTAGAAATTTCAACCTGTAAAATAGTTGAAGAAATAGATTATAACTTTAGATAAGTCTTAAAAAAAAACAACACGGTGAGACTATAATTAATGAATGATATTTGAGCGGTACTAGAGTGACCTGGATAGTGTTCATTCACAAACTAGAATTAAATGAGAGTTATAAACCAGTTTAAGGAATTAGAATTGTGATTTACAGTTGTTAGTTAAGATTAGGAATTAGATATAGGGTTTTCATCACGAACTGACATCAGCTATAATACCAAACTTTTATTTAGCGAAATGGATGTGTGAATTTTGCACCAAAGTCCGAGATATATTTTCATATATCTGATTGGTTCGTTCATAAATTATAGTCTCTCCAAAAACGTATTGATTTAATAATTATAATTAATTTGCATTACAACATATTTCAGAAATAACTTATTAGATGTGTCCTGAAAAATTGATGGAACTTGATCAATGAATGTCGGGGATGCTAGAGCTTTAGAACTCATTTGGTAAACATCTTATTTTTTGTAATTTTATTATGAAAATTTGAACTCGTTTCCGCCCTAAAGGTGCTCATTTTTGCCTTCAGATTCTATTTTGCACTTGGAAGGACCCTAAATGTGATTGATTGGGTGCTTCTTTTCATATGCTATTTTGTGATGCTTTCCAAGGACATTTTTATGCTGTTTATATACGCTTGAGCTGTGAGCTTATTGTTTTTTGTGCTTTTGGTTGCTTGTGAAATATACTTTCCTTCATCTGAACCTGGATTTCTCCCTGTAGTTAACGAGGATGAGACTTATTGAAACAGTTTAGCTGTCTTGTCGCTGCATCACTGATCCTTCGTTCCGTTCTCTGATTTTTAAGTGATCTCATAATCTATTCAAATATAGCAATTAGTTTCAATGGTAAGGCAGTTATAAAAAATAATGATCAAAGTAGCTAAATAGTGAATAACTGATCATCATTGTACTTCTTTTTGTAAGTGAACGTGAACTGGATAGTTCCAACTCAAGGTGAGAAACTATTACAGAATACTTTTATTAAATAGAAAAAGAGTACATGTGAGACACCTAACAAGATTATTTACTGAATAAAGTCATTTTAATGACGAATAAATAAATAATCTAATTAAACATTAGTAAAGGAACTATTTCAAAAACTGATTTAATTTTCATTCACACAAATAATCACTTAGTTGAATGTTTTTGCTTCATCGTTTGAACTGTATTTGACAATTTCAACCAAACTAAGGAGTAAAGCATTGTGGTTTAATATGACCTATATTTTAACCTTAGATTTTGATCATAATCTGACTTAAGTTTAGCTGAATGAATTTTAAATAAACTTGTACTATAACCTTCTCTTCCAAAACGACTCTTAATCTAGCCTACAGCCACTTGGAAAACAAAAGAAACCAGGAGTTTTATTATTATTTCAACAATAACTAAGGACCAAACGAAACTTCATAACATTCGTTAACAGCCCGTCATAAATCCATGTTCATAATGCTTTCCTATAAAACTAGTAGCAATCAAAATAGCTCAATAATAGTATCAGCTAGACTGCTATGTAATACAACCTGAAGTTAGGAGAATATACATTATTTAAGAGATATTTACATATTCATAAGAGTGATTAATATTAATCTTTCTACCTATAGAATTATAGTGAATATTAAATACAGTCTATGAAATTGAACAGTAACTGGCAGCATCCATATAAATGGTTAAATCATTACGAAACTGTCCCAATGGTATACACATTTTACGGCTTTTTGTACAAAATCCTAATATTTTATTACTTAATGATGAGAGGGATATCCATCTCATTGATAATTAATTTAACATAAATAGAATTGTTGCAAAGAAATTCTTTGTTAGTAAAAATTTATTGGAGTGCCCATATACACAGCTTAAGTGATATTCAACGTACTTGGAATAAGTCAAAATCTGATAGATGAGCAGCTAATCGAGTAAGTGACTGACGTCCTGATCCTCCGATACCAACAAGTAATGCATGCGATCTTGGTTGTTTTAATATACGTGCAATACGACATACATGTTCTATAGCAAAACGAAATAGAACTAAATTCATAGGTTTCTTGCTTAACTGATTATATTCTTCTAAGTAAGCTTCAGTTACTTTACGTAATTGTTCAACATCATTGACTTCAGCATAATTACGTTTTCCCTTAGGATCAGCAAAATCACAGAACATAAGCGATCGAAGATGATCTTCTGTAACCTGAATGAATTATATGAGAGAAAGAAAAACACTATTCAAAGCAGTTTATCATTTAAAATAGAAGAAACACAGTAAAGATGAAGCATAAAGTACATCGTGAAAAGATTGATACTTTCAAAAAACGTCCTTGTTAGCAAGTGATCTATATAATAGGGTCATAAAGAATTTTATAGTAAAACTGTTGAACAGAAGATATCCTAAGCTAAATATGACAGTGTTTAAGTGGAATGTAACTGTTTTAAACCAACACGAAGCTTTTAAATGTTTAGTAAATTAAATTGTGGAAAATATCTTCATTTGAATCCCTAAATTCATGTCTCCAGAAAAGTAAATTATTAATTTGTTGTTCGCGTACATCGTTAAATTATGGCTTGATACAACAAGCTAATAGATGAATTTGAAAACACTAAAGTTTATCAAAGAATTTCGCGTTTCAAAGGTAAATTAGTTGACGAATCTGTGACTAAATGCAAGATCTGTCAATCTTTACACAGAGTGTTGAGCAAATTAACAGCAATGTGAAGAGTTGAAACATGATAGTTAGACAAAAAAAGTCAGTGAATTTTGAGGTCAGTTATTTTTCTTAAACTAAAAAGTGATGGATTTCTGGTTCTTGAATCTTCTGGAGTATACACTGTGTTTTCATTGTGAAGAAATGTAAATTACTGTGGTTCAAGATAACCTGTTCTTCAACAGAGTATGAAAAAATTCCACTCTCAACTTTTTTTTTCAGTTTTCTCTAACGTTTTATCCTTTTTGTTACTTCTGGAACGATGCGTTTATTTACTGGGTTTTAGTTTGAATCAGACTAATGATAAAGTGTTCATAATCAGTTATTTGTTATCCTAGCACTGAAAATCCTACAATTTCATCTGAACATATAAAATTGATGCCAAATCTTTAGTTAAAAGAGAAGACTACTGATAATACTGTGGTATCAAGATTTAAATGAAATTCGAATCACAATATGACAAATTTCGTATTCACCAAACAAATTAGATAAATCAAATATTATTGACAAAGAGATTCTGTGGAGACTAACTTAATTTATAAGTGGTTTCTGGCACAGGTTAACCTAAATTGAGGTACAATTAAAAGCCAGGGATCACTGAGCATCCGTTTTTTCTTCGCATAAAATCGCTCATCGGTGTGCATCAATGACTAGCTAGGGGCCGAACCCAGTATCCTCAAGTCTTGAGGTATGCATTTAACTATTAGACCGACGGTACATATTTCATGATGTTGAAATGAAGATTATACATTGACACTGATGATAAATTTCACTCAAAACAAGTCTGAACTCTACTGGTAACGACTCAACACTCAAAATTCATGGACCCATCTCGAAGTAAGTCACTGGTGAGCAAACGATTATAGAACTGATGAAAATGTTATCTAATGGTTGATTTAAGTCCTAGACTCAACAATCGGAGTTTTTTGACGTATACTGTCGCGGTATCCCATATGGCAACGAAACAGCTTTCCAGCACCACTTAATTTTCAATGGGAACAACCAATAACAAATACTGCCTACAATATAAATCAAATATTTTCAAGACTTAAATAACACATAATCAAGCATCTTTACCTCAGTTTCATTATCACCTGTTAAATGTTGGAATAATGTATTAAATTCTACATCCAAATGCGTTTTAACACATTGTCGTATAAAATTAAATAACCATTCACGATCAGCATCATCAACTAAACGATCATAATAAACACGAAATACTTCATGAACCCATAAACGTTTCATAGAGTCTAGTGTTTCCGCAGATTCAGGAACCGATAGTAAAATTCCTTGTATAACACGACTAAAATCACGTAAATTAAATAGATAATGAGATTTAGTCGGTGTTGGTAGCAGGTTTTGTAATGCAGCTTTATATACTTCAAGTGTTGCATTAACTATTTGTTCTGGGATTTTCTTATAATCCGGACTAAAACCTCTGTAATTAAAGATAAAGAGAAGTGTTATCATAGTTCATTATCATTTGATCATATCAATAATAAATATTAACTAGATAAAGTTGATATTTATAAGTATTATAAAATCTGTTGAACACACTAATAGAACTGATTCATTGTGATACAGAAATATTAATTGTTCGATGAAAGACTATCAAATTTAAATTTCCGGTTAGTCTTTATCATGTTCTCTATGCTTAATTGTATTTGGTTTTCGTTTGAAAACGAAAGTGAACTCTGTCAAGAAGCAAATTTAGTTGTCTTTTATTAGTGAGATTAAGTAAATAAGTGTATCATATTGGTAAACACTTCCCTACTTGAAGTCTTATCTATTTTTTATAAGTTTTAACACCAACTGATTATTTCATTCAGTTAGTTTCATAGTCTCCATAGATGTCCTCTTAAAACATGAAGAGTTATATGATATTGTAAAAAGATTTGAGAATTGCAAAAAGAAAGAACGCTGTGATGAACTTCAAATATTCAAACAGTCTCGCCCTTTGGTTAAAACAAAGATTTTTCAGATTCAATATTATGATGAATTGCATAAGTTTTGTACTTACTTCTTGAGGCCTACTGATTTCAAATAACACTATAAAAGGAGTATAAAATTAAAATACTAAACCGGTTTGTTTATCACTACAATATACTAAACGAAATATTCTAGGCCAATATTTTGTAAATTCTGTCTACTTAACCTCTTACATGATTTCAATTAATTCATTATAGACAGAATATACAGCGTAAGACTGTAAAACGTTTACATCAAAAAGTAGGTAAATCGATTTTATCGACAGTCAAAGTCCGAATGATATGCACAAATATTTATTATTATTATTATTATTATTATTATTATTATTATTATTATTATTATTATTAACAAAGATGGATAGTGACTAGCAGCGGAATTCAAGACGCGGTACTGGGTTCGAGTCCCAGAGTGAACATCAAATCTAAGATGCAGGTACATCCATCTGACGAGTTTCAAATAAAACGAAACGCACGTCTTGGAGTCCACTGCTAGCCACTATCCATTTTTACTTATAATGCTTGTGAATTAAGGCTATATTGAGGAAATAAGCACAGTATGCATATATGCCAGTAAGAGACTGATCAATCGCAGTCCTAAACATCAACGGGAAAATTCAAGTAAACAACACCATGTGAATTTATTATTATTATTAGCTGACTACATAAGAAAGTTACAATTATTAGCAAATTTTTCCAGTGACTTTGGGAAAAAATTGATTATTCGACTCAACTTGTTTAATTCTGAATTGATGAAAAGATCCAATTTAAAATATCTTAGATTGTTTGGAATGAAATTTGTAATAAATCAAACAGACTGAAAAGAAATTCACAAGTTACACAGCATATTTTGTTTGCATGATAAGTCAGATACAAGTGAACAAAGATTCAAGAATCAATTAGATTATCTACCTAGACTATAATTCCTCATTTACACATGAACTATTTCAGTCATTTCGATCACGTATTAAATACTTATCATCTATTAAAATTATTCATTCAGTAAACTTGAGCTTCATACTTTGTTTTCTTTCTTGTTTTATCTATTTAGGTTGGTATAAAAAACAACATTAAAGAGCGAAATATAGTGATATAGCGATATAGCGATATACTAGTGATTGAGGTAGATTCTGTAGATCACATCATTCTACCACATTTTAATTTCAACAATTTCAATTAAAATCTTATAAATGAAAATCACAGCAAAACAATTTTCATCTTAGATGATACTTTGTTAATGTAAACAATGAAAATAGTTAGATTGGTGTCAATATAAAATGAATGAATATAAATAATCTTGTATTCTATGTATATTAATCATTGAGGCTTACTTCACAGTGATATGCCAGTTCATAATTCTTGTAAATATTGTTTTCATTGTATGATCATCGAATTCATTAACAGTTACAATATTTAAATGACGTAAAAATCTTGGAGTAATGACATTTCGTCCACCTCCTGGTGGACCCATAGAACCAATGAAAAGTAAGTCAATCAATCGAATTGCTTCATTCGTTTTTAAATCATACCTTAATATTACCAATTAAATAAAAATAATTCGTTATAAATAGTCTATATATTTTCAAAGATAATTCAAATTTGTAGATGATTTGAGTTGCCAGTTGATATCGGTTGTAAGATCATTGTGAATCAGAGAACCCTAAATAGCTATTAAGTCTCAGTTGGTAATTCCTCAACAGTGTGCGCTTATGAACTAAGGTCTTTATAACTCTTTTTCTTATTATTTTGAGTCTGACATTTGAGATCGATATTTCCAAGTTCAGTCTGTTTGTGACATAAAGAGACAATCATCCAATGTAATTAGTGATTTCAGTCTTTCTACTGACTTAGCTAAACGCTCAACGTCGTCATTTATTAGTTGAACTTTTAGAACCTATCACAAGATTAGTCTTAAGTCAGCACATCATCAAGGTTTTGTTTGTTTATTTATTTTGAAGACAGATTTTCTCAAGGAGTGACGTTAGCTGAAAAAGCAGTGAAAACTAGAGACTGCTGTTCTGAAATTTTAGTGCTCAATAGTAAGAGTCCATTCCCATAGGTATGTTGGACTGAACAGTATTATTAAGTAGATATTTTCGAATCCAAAAATAACGTAATTACATTATGATTACAATTAGAATGATATAAATTTAATGAATGATGAACTACATACCAATTCCAATGATCCAACCATTGACGTAATAATTCAATCGGAGGCTGTGCACCATATGTTTCTCTTACTGGCATATTCAAGTCATCAACAAATACAATAATTTTTTTACCCATTGGCGGTCCAAATACACCTTTACGTCGACGATCTAATTTCGATAAAATAATATTCTGTGTTTGATTTGCACTAGTTTGTGCGGAAAAGTTCAACGTATGCGGCTTATAGATGTCTTTTTCCACCTTATTCATGAGAAAATCCTATGATTGGTGAAGATAAACAAAAAATTATTCTTTGTTAACAAATACCGATCTATGAAGTAATATTAGTCCAAAAAATTATTCAGATAAACAGAGAAGTATTCGGTAGTTATTTCTGTGTAATCTATAATTTTATTACATTGAGTTAAAATACAATTGATTGATAACTGAGTAGTGACCAATGTTATGTATGTCAAGTGTTTTTCAATGGTAATCGAATTCTGCCAATTGAATTGCGCTGTAGCCACTAGTTTAAGTTACTTGACATCGTGCGCATTATGTTGAGATATAAGGTAGTAGTTAAAGATACTCAACAAGAAACCGTGGATTTAGGTTTCGAACTTTTTGGCACTTATAAGCAAGGTTTACCTGTAATACTGGGGAAACTGATGCTACCTGACGGATTTAACTCCATATCACCCAGACTCAATGTCATAGACGTTACTACTGAGCTATTCGAACTGCGAATAAATTCTTATGAGGATCCATTCCTCCAAGGAGCACCAGTTTCTGCAACGTTGCAGGTGTACCCTGCTGTTAAGACCCAAAGAGTAAGAAATCCGTATCCAGGGTCTCCTTCTGGGTAGCTCGAGCCACTAACTTGCAATAAGAAAACTGTACCTTAGGCAAAAAGAAACCTTAGTACCGACCAAAACTTTTTCATGCAAAGAACAGGAAAATGGTGTAATTTTGTAGCAGAGGTTGAAAGTAAATATCTATGAAAAATATGATTTGCTGATAAGGCTTTCTATCAACATGAGATATTAAAACTTATGATTCTATGTAGGCTTCATTGTATTCGTATTCATCATTTTTCAACATGAAAACAAGAATTATTTAATTATGTAGTTGGTGTCGATGAAACGTTCTCTTGCGCAATCTAGAAGTTCACGGAAAGCATAGATGATTACTTTATATTTAAACATAATATTAGAAGAGGTCAAATGATTAACATTAAAACAGCTTGTAAAATTTTATATAAAAATTAATGGCGAGACTATAATTTATGGACGAATCAATCAGATATAAGATAACGAGTCACGGATTTTAGCACGAAATTCATTCATACATTTGGCTAAATAGAGTTTTGGCATTCTAGCTAATGTCAGTCCGCGATGAAAACTCTAAATTTAATTTTTAACCTTAACCATCAACTGTAAATGAAAACTCTAACTGCTTTATAACCCTCATTTAGTCCTAATCAGTAGGTGTCCACTCTCAAGGTCACCTTAACGTCCCTCAAAGGTCGTCTATAAACTATAGTCTGACCAAATTCATAAATATATTTTTATATTACGCCAGTATGAATAAAATTTACAAGGTAAACCGTATTTTTATTTACCTTGGATAAACTAAACTGATCTTCAAATTAATTCATTTATTCATAAAAAACAAAAAATAATATTATGTGATCAGAAACCGATTTTTCAAACAAGTTACTTTTTAGCACATTTGACATGTCAATGAAATTGTTAGAACTTGTGGCCTTGTGCCCTATCAATATACATAACGTAATGATACCACCAATTAGAGAACAGTGAATTATCGACCGGACTAATGATGCATAAAACCCGTACGAGCAGTCTAGAGTCTTTATCGGTCCTTCTTTCTGTCTAGACCCGCCTGTTGAGTCCAGAACACCAATCTCGGCCTCTGAGATATGAATCATGCACTTCAAACATACTGGGTTTATATACAAACTAAATAGACTACATCACACCATAAAATATAAAATAACATTTGTACAAGATTTTGCCAAAAGTGGCCCTGAATATGGGAGATAGTAATTGATAGACTGGGCATAACTCAAGAACGGGAAATCGTATAATAATAGTCTATAAATCAAAATAAAGCTTATAATAAGAGGTACATTAATATGCACAGTGCAATTGCTTAACAATTATACAATAAAAATATATGTAAAGTATTATCACATAAATCGATCCCAACAGTTACCACTCATTATTCTGATCGGCATAGATCTTATAATTTAAAACTGTAGCTAAAATGAACGTATTCGTAGTTACTTTTGTTAAACATGACAAGTGATAACATCTGAGATCATCCCTAGTGTTTTCAATGTCTAATAAATGTATTATGTTTAGAGCCTTTGTCAATTTATCCGTTTATATATATATATATATATATATATATATATATATATATATATATATATATATATATATATATATATATATATATATATATATATATATATATATTAGACTGTAATTTTAATAACGAATTTCATTCCAATTAATAACTCGTATTTTTCATTAGGCATATTATACTTTGTTATATAAATATTTTTATAACAGTCAATTGAGCATAACACAAAACGCTTGTAACAAAGTCATTAATAAAAACTACACTCCAGTATGCAGTACTAATCCATTAAATAAACGGGTAAATGATCGAGGATTCTAGATACAACACACTAACTGAACATTAAAAATGTTGTAGATAACCTTAGTAATCATATGAAAATAATTTAGAAACAAGTTGACAAATAAAAGTGACTTACCATTATATAACATGATTTCCCAGTACCAGTTGGACCAATAAATAATGATGGTTTACCATTTAAAATAAATAAATTTAGTAAATGATTACATCGAACAGTTTCTACTGTTGGAATGATTATTTCATTGAAACTGGCATCTTTAGGTATTGGTGGAGCTAAACGTACAGTCTCTGTCCACAACTCCCAGTTAATAGGGATCTTTATTCAAAAATAATAATATTTAAAGTATAAGAACAGTTATCATTATCTTTTAGTTAATTTGGAGGTTTTCTTAAAATTTGGAATTAATTCTGATTATGCACTAACACTAAAATTGTTGAAAATAAAAGAGTAATGTACTCCTAGTTTGTTCAAGTTTTGTATTTTCTTGTACTGAAGACTAACAACTTCACCAGGAGTGAACTATGCAGGTGAATAAGAAACTTTGATAAATTAGCTCGACAGTCTTTGTTCATTTCAAATGATTTTCTAACTAATGTCAAGGCACGATGAAAACTATTATCAGATTTATTATTAGTATATTTTATTCGATTAAATAAATAGTTATTTAGAAAATAGTTTTATAATAATTTCAATGTGCAAAGAAACTACTTGTACTTAGAAATGAGTAGTGAACTAAAAAAAAAGAAAATTCAATTGTAGCATACTCCGTTCAGGTTTATTGATTACGTTCTCTGTAACTCAAGGTATTAAATTCATAGGCAAATTAAAAGTTGGATTTCTCAGGTCAGCGACTATTCGGATGCTTAGAATTTTAAAATTTTTCCTCATAAGCTGAAATCAAAATTCCTCTCTATATATGAAGGGATCAATGAGCTGAAAAGTAGTTCGCTTTTTTTCTATTTACGGGGATAAGAAACGTGATTCTGAAAGCAGAGAATATTCGTAAATCAAACGTTAATTTCTTCGAAGGACTTCTCACGCTTACTGGAAATACCGAATGAGTAATGCTGGGATTAACTCTGCCTGGAGTTTTCCAGAGGGCTACTGCCAGTCTCAAGCCTGTATAAAGGAGGAGGGTTGGACATGGAGTTAGCGACCCCATCCCGTAGAAAACTAACTCACTAAAAAAACGCTAAGCAGAAAAAAATATTCAAACCTTTTAAACTCTACCCTGGGAGTCAGAAGGTCTTTATTTAGAAGAACTATGACGCCTCATGATGAAAGCCGAATTCCTTCGGAATTCACGAGGCCGATGCCCCTCCTGACAACCAGAGCAACCATTTATTTAGGTAAATGGAATGCTCGCACAATGTAGGAGACTGTGAGAGTCTTCCAAATTGCTGCAGAAACGAGGAGATACAACTTAGAGGTGGGATCAGTGAAACACATTGGACGCAAGTTGGACAACAACGACTAGCTTCAGGGGTGCTTCTGTTATACTCCAGCCATGAAGAAGAAAATGTGCCACATGCACAAGGAGTTGCATTGATGCTGTCCAAACAAGCACAAAGTGCACTTATAGGATGGGAATCTCATGGACACAGGATCATCAAAGCATCATTCGAAACAAACGAAGAGGGCATTTCAATGAACGTCATCCAATGCTATGTGCCTACCAACGACTACAATGAAAACGCTAAAGATCAATTCTACGATAGGCTGCAGTCAATCATCGAGAAGTGCCCAACAAAGGATCTGACCATTCTGATGGGAGAGTTGAATGCCAAGGTTGGAATGAACAACACCGGATATGAAGACATCATGGAACGACATGGACTGGGAGAAAGGAACGAAAATGCTACACCACCGCATATTTTGGCACACAATGTCTGTTCATGTAGAATTAGATTTAAAGAAAGCTAGGTATGAGCAAATAAAAAAGTAATGCAAGTCTATAAACCCATTGATTTTCGGTCTAAACTGTGATCCGCTCGATAACTGTGACCAATAAATTGTGATGTTAGTTTATAAGAATAAAAACTGATTAAAATGATGTAGATTTATTCAGTTTTTGTCATCCCAAAGAGTTTTAGTTTCTAAACTACTTTATAATTTTCATACTTTTCAAGCCATATTCTTCATATTATGTCATTTTATCACTAGAACTACTATTATTTCAACTCCTCTGGTATTTGTTTTGTTAATTCTATCTCATAGTGGTGAAACTGGTGTTATGACAAAGCTGATCCAGTGTTCTCTATATTCTGCGTTGACTGCGGATTGACTGGTTGATAAAATGAAATTCAATGTGGAAACCAATGAAAGCTAAAAGACACTAAACAGTTGTTTTGTCCCAATTTGCAGACATCATAGCAGTGTGTATTTATGAATTCATTTAAAAACATCGATCGCTACTTTACGATTCGTTGGTGTAAATGTAATGTGTTCATTGGAACCTAGGCTTCATTATTTGTGGGCCACTGTTGGGTGCTGTTTATAAAACTCGAACTAAAACGAACCCGATTCTCAGTACTCCTTGGCCAGATCATGTTAGACCGCATTAAGAACTATTTTAATCACTTCGTATCATCCAAATAAATAAAAGCCAAGTGCTAGATATCTTTTAGATTTAATCGATATCATCGTTAGAATAAACTCAAGACAATCAGAGGTTAGAGAATTAATTTAAAACTAAGTGAAACTAATTATGATTTGAAAACAGTGTATTTTCGTTCTCATTCACCTTGAGAGGGATGGAGTGGAAACGATGAGAGTGAATACTATTTCTAGGCTATAAACCAATATCCAAGTGTATATTCATCAAAATATACCAGGAAAACTTCTCTACTATCATTGGGTTTTAAGGTGTTGAACTAAATTATTATTATTATTATTTAATATATATTTATTATTTGCTGTTTCAGTTTTTAAAAGAAATACAATCAAGTAGTTCATTCGCACAACTTACCTCATCTTCTATTCCTTCTTTATTATTGGCCTATCAAAAATACAAAATTAAAACAGTTTACAAACTTTATTTAACATTTCAACATTATTGTTAAAAATTTTGTTCCATTATAAAAATGTATAGTATTCCATGAAATCTTGGTAAAATGAATGTAGATAGTTGATATTTAACCAATTTATCAAAAGTCTGACTTTTTACATTAGTGTATAGTGATTGAGTATAATTTAGATATTGTAGTATTTCCTGAATGTGTTCTAGCAGCTATTTCTAGCATCTTGTCTAATCAATTTATTTGTTTGTTTTTAAAATCATCAAAATGGAGTAAAAATCATAAATACTAGTTAGCTATTAAATGACATAACATAACTAAGTCCAGATCGCTCCCAAATGCCCTGATACGGCCGAATGAGAAGAGTCTGCTTTCCTTCTCAAAATGCGTTCACATGGTCATGCGTATACAGCTACCGCTGGAAATGTCCCACTCACTGCCTTCTCGAGGTGGAGTGTTGTTCACAAAATCAAGAGGATGAAAAACAAATGTCCGGTGTTCTTACCGGGTTGGTGGAATCGAAGATCTACCTAAGGGAGTTGAAAAACCCCGATTCCAAACCAGTGGTGCACATGAGCTCCAGGATTCTGAGGAAACAATAGGCGTATGAACCCATTGTTGATCACCTGATTGAGTGAGGTATTTTCGCCTTGATTTTGGTTAGGTAATTACAAGTTTTTATTCAGTTTTCAGATTATATATCATAAATTATGCTTAAATTGATAAGGGTAAATTAGTCTTTACTATTTAGCAAATTAGTGTTACTTTTGATTGATCAGATACCAACAAAAAGTTTAATTTATCTTCCTGAATAATGCGTACCAACGATACAGTAATATTCTAATAATATGATATAGTAATATTCTTATCTTATTCATGGATGTCACAAATGTCAGTTCTTTTATGTGAAATACCTAATGAATGCCAAAAGATCTATGTTTCGATATTATTCCAGTATATATAGTCAATGGTTGTCAATTGCAGTCTGTTGATTAGTCACATCCAATAGTCCTACATGAGGATTTCCTTCAAAACGTTCACAAAAACGTTATACATAGTAAAATAATTGAAAGAATATCAGGAATTGATACTCTGTCTGGAGATTCATTTGTTCAAATAAAATACGCAGTTGCCATAATTCTATTTATTGAAAACATTAGTAGAACAAACAGTGGTTTTAATAACCTTCAACACCCATTAAAATGCCTTTTGTTCTTTCTAAATGGAACATTTTGCTGCACGTTATTTTTTCGTATAACCGCTTGAATTGATCACAGAGGATGAGTCATTTAAGTGTGTTAGTTAAATCACTTGTCTTGAAAAGTTTTATCAGTTCTGATGGGTTAGTTGGCTTATGCCAACTTGTATCACCTGAGATGTAAGCGAATTTTTCATCTGCCAACCAAGCTGCTTACGAAGAGAATTATCTAATGGAAAATGATTAAAGAATAACTTTCTGAAAAAATCAACAATAGATGAATCGTTATTGTTCTAAATGAATAATAAAACTAACCTTCATTACTAATTTATAATCATAAACTGTTTTCTTTATCGGAAATGGACGTTTATAATCTTCCATTGGCGGTGGAACTAATTCAATTAATGCCAGTCGTTGTCTTGTCTCTTCCATCATACCACCATTCATTAATTCACGTATTAATTTATCGAATTTCTGTCTACCATCTTTATCTGTGGTTGCACCGATTGACCAAACATAAGCAAAAAAGAATATACACTGGAAGACAAAGCATAGAACAAGTAAATCTATTATGTAATAATAATGATACTGATAATCATACAAGACAGTACTTCTTAAATAGTCCAGAAATTTAATATTCGACATTTTATTAATAATACCTAGTCGTAGATCAATAAGAATAGGGGCTTTTGGAGGCTATATTTCACTATCATCTAATACAAATTTTCATTGTTTGTTGTAACTGCTCATCATTTCAGTTACTTATGCTAACATTTTTTACTTGTCAGTAGTTTATCTCAATGGTTTACTTCTCAGTAGGATTGTGAATTGGGCTCAATGGTCTGAAGGTTTATCCGATAACAGGATGGATTGAAAATTTCACATCATTTGTTAAAGTAATCTTCTAAGATATATCATCTAGACAATGTTATCTGTCAATAAAGAATCTTTATGAATTACAAATATAATTAATACAAAAAGTGTTCCAATAGAGATAAATCCCAAATCACTTTATATTACAGAATTTTATTTCATAAAATAGGATAAGGGAAGTTATTCAAATGCTAACGTGATACTCAAAGAAGTACTTTCTTAAGTATTCAAATTGATTCAGATGTGTTAAGATGTTTAAGAATCCAACAAATAAAATTATAAATAGATTAAGTGTAACAATAAGTTGGAAATAAATTTAATCTACTTCCTTAAATCCCATTATACATTCTCTTTATATATGTGTATAAATACTACTACTACGACGACTACTACAAATACGATTACTACTACTACTACTACTACTACTACTACTACTACTACTAATAATAATAATAATAATAATAATAATAAAAGTCCACGTATGTATTACACACAAACAAATTGAGCTTACTTCAACGATTGCACTTGAATTATGATCAGTAAATTGTGTAAAATTATTGTCAGCATTAAATTCTGCTATTTGACAATCAATTAGATTCATTAATGATTTCACTAAGTTTATATCACTAGTTGGTGATAATTCCTTGATTGATTGATTGATTGTTTAATTTAGGGAGTTTTTTTGTGTGAAATAAGTTGAATAGAAATAGGGAAAACAAATCATGAAATGAAGTGATGAAAATCAGTAAATTGTAAAGTTGAATAGAAAGGAAAGTCTTATTATTTGAATAGTAGAAAAAGTTAACCAAAATATAAAACTGTTGGGAAAAGCAGAGTGTTGTGATTCAGTTTTTATTTAGGTTGTACTCAATTAAAACTTACAGGTTAGTATTCAGTTAATTGTTGTTCAGAAAAGTCTTCATTACTCATTGAGACTATCATAAAGGCTCAGGGACTATTTCGTTTTTCTAAATAACCTTAGTAAGAATGAATTTCAGAGGATTATAAATTTATTCACCTATATCCAATTCAAATCACAGATGAACACTTAGTCTTCATAAAGTTATAGATACATTTTGTTGAAACATGTGCTCCCAACCATTCCACATACCTCATGTAAGTTTTTAATAAAATTTTAGGTGGATTACTGAAGCGATGAATAAATAAGGCTACACGACGTATGTATCGGATAATTAAGGTTATAATTCTCAACTATATTGCATGGGACTTCTAGTGTACAAACCGTAGAATGGTTATCTTTTCACATATCCTCCTACTGACTTCAAATTCGAATCCTACAGAGACCAAAATTTATATCTTAACCAAAAGCATAATGTTGCAGGTAATTCGTTGTTTATGAACGATAATGTACAGCCTTTTTAATATGTCCAGTAAACTATTTTTATATAGAAAAGAATGACAGTTAACTTGAATTTACTGCGCATTATATTTTTCCACGTTTTTCTCCACTCAGTTAATTATGAACACAACTTAGTCTACTTTCATTCACTGAACCTAGTTTCTATTTATATTATCTTTTTTTGCTAAAAATTCATCTGAAACTTATAATTGATACCTAGAGATCTGTGTTATTAAGTCCTGAAAGTGATTGCGCAATCCCGATCTTCAGCATAACTGATGGGCTTGTCAAAATCTCCGAGTTAATCACACATATTATGACTTGAAAACAAGTTTGAGTGACAGTTATTCACTTGACATTGGTAACCAATGAAACCTATTCGTATATATGTAAGTGAAGGTCACTAATGTCTCAGCTACTCGATGGAAATCAATTTGGCGTTCGATTTATCTTTTACCAAATTTATTGTTTATAATCAAAACTTGATGTTACAATAAATTGTTTAACCGGTTTAGTATATTCCACTTCTACTAGTAAAATAAGCACCAGAATGTGAGTAAAACCTAACCATTTCTCAAAAACAATGACAAATGTGAGAACTTAAAAGCTTATTGTTGCTTACAACCACTTAGAACCACTAAGGACAAATCGGCTATTCCGTTTAAATATGGGACTATTCAGAAGCGCTCATTCATAGATTCACTTTGGGTCAGACCCAGAACCTTCATATCTTGGCGGTAATGCTTAAACTTTACATCTATGAGTTGACAACTAACAGTTCGCATTTTATGATGTTACGCGCTCATCATTCGATGCCATGGAGCCGTAAGTATCATACTATCCATGTGGTTTCATTCTACTAGTTAGGGATTCTTGTTTGAACTCAGATGGGTTCGTAGATGCGATCTACTGAAAAGTCGCATCTCAGGGAGAAACAACCATCTAGTAATTCGTATTTTTCAATGGCTGTCTAACTACGGTCAACTCAACAATGTTAACAAAGCACCCATACTAATGACTAAAGATATATTCAAACAAGAAGCAACCAGTGAAAATCAGTAAATTTATATCATTAGTCACTGATGTAGATTTTGGATATCGAGAAACAACTGTGTTAAAAATTATGCTATAATCCAAGTTTACCGAAGTTGAGATGTGCAAGCTAATAAACTCGAGCCCACTACTTCTAATGTACCATGTTCGTCATTAGATATAAAAGAACTTGGCTGTAACCGTGTATCTATAGATTAACTGGATGCAGTTCTTATCAAACTGTACCGGACTTAATGTTGAATACTTCCTCAGCCGATATTAGTTTCAAATAAAAAGTATTTTCAAGGTGATCTTTGAAATAGGGTAAAGTTTAAATATGTAACAAAAATTGACGAGCAAAAAACATTTATGTAATTCAAATAGCTTAAACAATACTAATGCAGGCCAATCAGCGACAATAAATTACTGAACTACTTATGTACTATGATAGTTTTATGAAGATCGGTGTTTGCGATACAACTTTAAAAGAAAAACTTCCGCTTACTTTGATACCACCTTTACGAATTAATGCAATACCAGCATCGACAAATCTATCAAACATATCAATCCAAATATCTTTATGTAACTGTTTAATAAAATTAGGTAATTTATTCATCCAACTACGTAGCAATGGTCGCCAACCTAGACATGCCGGTTCCAAATAAATCATACCACAACGAGATACAGTTGCCGGTGAAGCAGCTTCTAAATCCATTGGTTCGAATATCAAATTAGTTGTTGGCGCTAACTGAATAATTTCACCCGACATTAAACATAACTTTTTATTATCATCTAACACAGTATTCATATTCTCTATCCATACAGCATCAACTGGTCCATCAAATATTAACCATTTACGATCTGGTGTCGTTGATGTGGCAAATGTTCTATATGAAACAGCTAATATACCGTCTGACCATTCATGTGATACAGGATCAAACTGACCATATAGCTGTCCCATTGTTATCGCTTTTGGATTGATTACAGTATATTGCACTTTATTTTCTTCCATAAGACCCTGTTTTTATGGATACAAACAGAACATATAAACAAGCAATAACCTGAATAGTGATAATACTAGTAGTGATGTGCTTTAATAAGTATAATATTATTCTTAACAGATATCCAACATTATATGAATAAAGTTATGTTCTATTCTGTGATACAAAAAGGCTCGTCAGTTTGATTTTTTTCCAGTTTTTAATGATAGTTAAAGAGTTTTAAAACTATAGAGAAAGTTTATAACTCTGATGCATAACCTTATCCTTTGGATTGAATTGTCTGATTTATTGTCACTCTCGAAAAATAACATAATGAATGAACTATTTGAGAAATGTCATGATCTAACCATTTATCAATAGAGATAGTTTTGTTAAGCGTATCTGTTGATGCATTATTCTATGAGGTATTAAATCTTCATGGATTGAACCACATAGGTCAAGTAATACGTTCATCCACCCACCATCTGTCTCGGCACTCGAAGTTAGTTGGAATAAAACCAGAGGAGTTTAAGCCGAAATGTAGTATCGATTTATAAAGTTATTGACCGTTTTAATGAGCTGCGTAGGGAGATCCAGACTACCTTGTTGGGATCCACTTGATTATCTGAACCAGTGGTTTCAGATATTAGATAATAGGACTAAGAATCTGTTATAGTGATGGAGATGTAATCGCTCTTTGTCTCCCCTTAGATATTGAGTTCTAAATCATTTTACAGCTTCTTAATACTTAAATTATATTATCTCTGCATACTGTTTTCCACTGTCCTTATCACAATTACTAATTTTACTACTCTAATATTTGTCTTGATGTTTTCGTTTTGCTGTGCTTATGTGGTATGACAGCTCGAACCGACGCACATATGTGAATACATGTTGCTCATAACTGATTGATCATGTGTAATGAAAAAGTTGAGTTTATGATAATAGACCCTATATATATATATATATATATACCAGTCAGATTTAGCGGTAAGTTGATAAGTTGAAAATTAGTTGACAAACAAGGCTTTACAAAATTGATTAGATGATTATTGAGTAAATATCCATCTACTTGGTTTAGTATTTTGTGATAATTAGAAAAGCATGATATAATCATAATTGTACATGAGCACTGTTGAGGAGTCTCATACTAGGATAAAAACGCCGTTTAGTGCTACCAAAGTTTTAATGGTAGTCTAGTTTAGATTAACTCATAAATTTAACTATTTAAATTATTACAGTCTCCACAAATCCCCATTTTGATAACGATCATAATCAGCAATTTTTCTGATTTTAACATTATTAAAACGGTTTATGTTGTGGATAAGCAAAGGTGGAAATTAAGGATGTGTTCATCTATTCATTCGTATAATTCTGGTTTAAAACCTTATACATGAAAGTATACACTGACTCCTATACAGGTGAAGTTTTCCGTTCGTGAACAAATGTCACGTGTTAAAACATAACATTCTAGGCCGTTCACACTTCTGTTTACATCATTATCTCGTTAAGAGCTTGTTCTTTTGGGATAACACTGTCTTCAGTGCAGTGGTATGTCAGTGGATAATCTTCGTCACGTTTTCTACTTCTTTAGTTTTTGATAACACCTTTTTGAATATGTTGATGAGGCGTTAAATTTATCAGTTGAATATGAGGGTGATAAGACGTTGTGAGCATATGAGTGATGGTATTTTTTTACGTGAAATGAATATCTTTGTTACATAGAATAATTAAAGATAGTTACAAAAGAATACTACAAATAAGATGACCATTAATTTTGTTGCATTATGGGGAAATATGCAATAGATTTATTATTATTATTTCATACAGACATCCATTGGTCGTGAACAGAATTAGATTTGTTTTGACGAAAACTGTCAGTAGTATGTTAAGTTCAATTAACTAGTTAATGTTAATTAGGATAATCTTACCTTAATAATCCAGTCCTGAATAAATTAGCATTTGAGTCTTAGTAAGGGAACTTCCAAACAAAATGAAATACATTACGATATTAGCTACAATTTTTACTTATCAATAACTCAATTAACTAAAATCATCCAAAAGTTGTCAAACACTTTAATTATATAAATCCAAATTTACTTTTTCACGTATTTCACCTAATGCAGCAGCTAATACACGATATGAACTAGTTTTACCACCGAATGGTTCACCAACAATCATAAATCCATGTCGTACAATCATCATTTCATAAACTTGTTGTATTTTCTCTATGAAAAATTTAGTATATTGTAAATTCATACGATCACAAGCATTTTTTATAGCATTATTTAGTATTTCATAATCTGGTGTTGGACGTTCAATACCAGGAAATAGATCTGAAGCTATTCCACTAAATAATGGTAAATCATCACTAAGAAATTTCGGTAAATTCACATCAATAATAGAACGTAACATTAATACATCTTCATCTTCATTTGGATATTTTAACTAAATTTATAGAGAGTAGAAATAAAGAAGAAAGTATAGTTTCAGTGATTAAACCAACTAAATTATATAGTTGAGATCATGAATCAACTGAAGCGAGACCACCATGGAAAACCTGGATGCACTGGATGGCCGCTTCGTCCTAGTATTGGACTCCTCAGCAGTGTTTCCAGGTTTTCTATGATACTCTAAATTCAATTGACTTATGATCTCAACCACAAAATCTTCTCAAAACCCCTTCCTATAATAGCCATTGTATGCTCACAAGTGACTGGCTTCAAGATGTATTTCCTGGAATTCTAGTGAGAAGCAGTGACCAGTGGAGTTCAACTGGGTCTGTTGTGAGATAGTAGCTCACTGAAGACAATGATGGACGGTGGCTCAATTTCGCGGACTGGTTGAAGTTAGACGTTAACACTGCTGTTTTCCAGCTCCGTGGATTGGAGGTTATGCGTTCACGTGCGAGACTGATCGGTCCTAGGTTTGAATCTCGGGTGGATGGATCGTGGATAAACACTGTTGAGGAGTTCCACAATAGGACGAAACGGCCGTCAGAAAGTGCTTCTAAGTATTCCATGGTGGTCTAAACTTGATTGATTCATAATCTCAATGAAAGACTAAAAATAATGTCAAAATTAGTACACTACCAAATTAGAAATCTCATTTCTCATGAATTCAACTATAAAAGTACTAAAATCTCTACAAATCCTTTTCTGATAAACTATATTTATTACTGTACAGTTATTTTAAAAATAATTGTGTTTCAATGTTACAAGGATAAAAATTGAAGGTAAAATAAAAACAAAGATTCTTATCCGATTTAAATAAGTGATTTAATTAATGTAATAATTCGATAATTGTCATGAGAAAATATACACCGTGCTTCTATTAATGATCATAACTTGAATCATTAAGAGATTGTTTGTTTGTTTTTAGATAAGGGTAAATAAATCAAATAGATGAAACTTTCAAAACTATTCACTTATAACTCATTGTACATAATTTTATTGGATATTTACTTAGATGCTAGTTACGTCCCGAATGTGATTTTTTTAATAATAATAAGTTAAGATCTTGTAAATGATGATAAGTATTATTATGTGAGTTTTTGAACCATATTTAAAAGACTGTATGCTGGTTTGATGTTTTCTTGTTCTGACAGGGCTATGGAAATACAAGACTGTGAGTGAACACATAAATCTTAAGATGTCAGATCATTGTCCGAGGTATATGATTTTGTTGATTAAGTAAAAGCTCTTAGCATTGTTATTGTAAAGTGGATTCATCACTAGTGAGCTCAACAAATTAGTGATTCTTTATTAACTGAGCATATATCAGTTGAATTCATAACATGTGTAATCTGTTAAAATCTATTTAATACACTGCTGATAAGAAATTCTTTTCACGACCTATAACTGACATAACCTGAAGAACCATTCAAAATGACAGACCTCCAAATTAATGTTTCGTTTTAATTTCAGACGACTATTCAGAAATGCATATCTTTGACTCTGCAAATAACTCAGTCAACGGTTTTAGTACTTTGACGATATCTATAAAACATTCAGCAAGAATTCAGAGGAACAAATTTCCAACTGAAGCCACTTTGTTATACTTGATTGTTATCATTTGATTAGTTGATAAACACTCATTATACTCTATACGATATCCCATTATTTTGATTTATATAGAATTTAATTGACTTTAGTTGTGTGTCACGGATGCCAATCTTTGTCACTTTGTGTTTATCTGTAACTTCTTATTATTACAATTACATTATGATTTAATCACTAAAGAGTAATTTGACATTGATTAGTTCATTATAAATATTATCATGATAATTTATGTTCTTATACTTACTTTAAGATTACCAGCTGCTGTAAGGACAGATTTCACAGCTCTCATACCATAATCATAATGAGATTGACTAGATAATTGTTCTGAACATAAACGATAAGTAGCAACAATTTTTATAGCAAGTGGACGAGCATTAACAAAACCACATGAATATAATGAAATTTCTGCAATCATTGCATAATCTGGTACCATCATAGCTACTGAACGAAATAAAGCCTTGAAAAGACAAGAAAATAGCATAAATTTGATAATTATTAAATTTTAAAACATTCTGTTAGTGAATAACGATAGGTCAAAGTTAATGTTCATCAGTGTGAACGAATTAGTATGCATTGAAGTTTGTTATAAATACTTGGAAATTACCTAAAACAAACTCTAAAGTCAAGTTACTTGTTAAAAAGAACATTGAAAACTCTGAAAGAATCGGTCGATTCTTGAGAATTTCGAATCAAACTTTTGGAATCTGCAACAGTAAGTGATGTTATAGAGCTATTCGGAAAGCAAATAATCGCTTGTAGTAATGGACCAAGTACAATGATAGATTGTAGTGTATAGTAACTAATGTTTATACTGATGATTTTCTTCAACTATCCTAAATCAAATACATGACATAGAGATTTCGACACACTCAGCACAATAAAGAATGGAATTCTCTTATATCTTCTACATTTATATTAATTTCAAGAAATAAAAGTTTATAAAATCCGTTTTGTATCTAGATTAACCATGAAATCGTCTTCTTAAGTGAATGTACTAGCAAACTGGTGTCTTTTACGAATTTATGCAAGAGGTTTCGTATGTAGGAAATGAATTTCTGAAAAAAACCGGATCGAAAATATCTCTTCAAAGCTGGTGTCTCTGAAAGTGAGTACAATTTGGAAGCATTTAATTTAACTTATTTTTAAGTCATCACTCATATATGAGATAAACACTTATAAGTAGTGGTGAAGTTACGGATAGAGAGTAAGATTAAGGAAAGAAATCAATTGATGGGGTCTTAAGGCTTGTATTAAGCTATGCATTGTATGTATTTATCCACTGAATGCTTACACATAATATCCTTGACAGAATAAGTGTTAAAGATAAAATATTCATTTGTTATCAGGCCATAATGAAACACAACAATATAAAGTTTGCATTTGTTAGTCACCATAGATTTTTATTTATTAAATACACCTGACAGTGAAAGTCAATGTTTGGAGACTTAATGAAATACAAATCAAAATGTTTCATCTTAGATAAAAAATTATCTAGGGTATAATGAAAAATTTCCCGAACAAGATCCTATTTCATTATTCTCATGTAAATATTCAATTGGACATAAATAAGTAGGACAATATGATTTTAATCCATTAATCGGAGTCATTTAAATATATTAAAATGTTCTCCCCAAGATATACGAAATTAATCATTTTTCAGGACATATAAATAAGTTAAATGTTAGTATAGAATTGATTAATATTCTATGAACTAACATTATTAGTGCAAATCAATTGATGAAGTAGTAAACTTCATCAGTTGAAATGGCTGGGACACGTGTTACGTATGCCCGACGACCGACTGCCTCGACGTGCGATGTTCAGTGGTATAGGAGTAGATTGGAAGAAAACTAGGGGCGGCCAGACCAAAACATGGCACAAGTCCATGAAGTTACTGACAAGTGGACTGAGTCATTTCGGTAGATGTAGACTATCTGGTTGTGGATGATAGTAACCGATGGTTAGAGACCCTGAATGACATGGCTCAAAATCGTTTGCAATGGCCCAGGTGCATCCACTCTTTGTGTTTTCTCAAATTCTGATCTTCTCAATTCTTCATGTCCTTTGTTTTTTTCTCTTTCCAAATTTATTTCACTGGATTATACTCCATGAATAACATCGTCAAACCCTAATCTTTCCAATTACTGTTTAGACTGTTACTACCTCTACCACTACGGGATTTGAATCGACAACTGCATCTTTGTGCTAATGTGGTGTGTCAACTCGAACTGATGTACGTACGTACGAAGTTCTATGTTGTTACTGACTGACTGATTATTGTAAATATCTCAAGTGTACACTTCATCTCTTTAACTACATATACTTTGTAATAAGCTTTAAAATGAAATACATTCCTCGAATAAAGACTTTATGAAAATAAGTAACAATTGGTCAGAAATTTCTGTAAGCTTCCCTATTCTGAACAGGGTTTATAAAAATTATTGATTATTTTTCAGTTGTGGATTCTATTAGTTAATATAATTTAATGTATCATTCAAATTACAATAAGACTAACTTTTAAATTATCCGGTAGTTCTGAACGTCCAGCATAACCTGGATTCATTGTAATGAATACAGCACATGTTCGATCTAATTTAATTTCAGTTCCTTCAAATATTAAACTTGTTTGATTGGCAAGAATTGCACGTTGAATAGTTAAAATCTGTTGGGCTACTACAGAAAGTACTTCTAAATCAATACGATTAAATTCATCAAAACATGACCATGCACCGCATGATGCAAGTCCCTGTGTAAATTACATTAAATGAGAATAAAATAAATGACATAGATATTAGCACATATTTACTATTTATGTGAATATATTTGAGAATATTACTCATAAACTAAAGAAGCTTATTACAGTTTATGTATCTTCTGACGAATTCACGGACACCAAATAGAAGATATCTAAATAATTGGACGTAATTGTTAAAAAGTGTTGAACCTATATTTCATGATAGATTATTCTCATTAACAAGACACTCAGTCGGTTTACAGAGAACTGATTGATCCACAATTTTTAAGTTTATGTTACTTGGCTTCTGAGACAGAAACATTATTAGTAAACTATCTCAACTGAGATTGATTTTCTATGTTTTTGAGATACTTTAGATCTTTATTAATCTTTTTTCACAATCAATTTCTTGTTGTATAATCCTTAGGGTTGAACAATCTTATAGTATCAAGCTGCATTTAAATATAACTCAAATATAACGACTAATAGAAGGAAATTAGTAGTGAATAGTTTGAAATCATCATTTTCATCTTTGATTAATTGTCTGTTATATATTATATATAAGTATAGGCTTTCATTCTTTAACAATGTATTCAATTATTCAAAAAACGATACTGTCTTCTGTGATCAAATCATTTGAGATTTGTCTCTTAGTTCCATGAATGAATTGTCATTTCTATTAACTTAATCATACCAGTACTTTATTACTCAGATATCTCATTGCATCATCAAACAGGAATCTACAAGCCATAAAAATATTTAATTCAGAAAAATGTTTATCACGTGTAAATTCAATCGTTTTGGGAAAATTCCAGCAATGATAATAATCTGAAAATACTCCATTATCTCTCTGAAAATGTACAATCTTACTTTTGGAATGAATTTTCGCACGTAATAACCTTTTCCTAATCTCTATGTAGCTCACTCTGAAATAAAAGCTTAAGCTAGGAGGGGATTACTTAATAAAAAAAAGACATGACAACTGTAATCGATATAGTTCTTATACGAAAGGTGTTATGATGTGTATATCTTTATATGAAGTATGCATACATGCGGGGAAATTCTCCCAACATGAACAAGGATCTGATATAGTGAACAGAACGAACGGTTTATGAACAAAAACACTTCAAAAATGATAATTGCACGAAAAGCAAAGAAGAGAGATGAAACGTTAAGTCACTCAGTCAACTACAACGTAGGATCGGAATAAGGAAGTGAAGTTTAAATGAGACAATCTCGGAAAAAGATAGCACTCTTATCTGCTCTCAGTCCAGATGTTTAGAACGACAGGCGAAAGACTTCAAGGGGCATTTTAGCAGGCCTTCAGCTGCTCAACAATTACCCACCATTCCCAAATAGCCTGGATGAAACATTGAGATAAGCTATCTGACTCTGACTGAAGTTCGAAAAGCAATAGCTAATCTGAACTGGAGAAGAGAAGCTGGTTCAGATGGATTATTTCCAGAGGTCTTTAAGGATAGTGGTCCAGTTTCAGCGGTTAGGTTGACTAATATTTGAGCTAAAATCTGGGAATGTGACGTAATTTTATCTGACTGGTCGCAATCATTGATTGTCTCAATATATAAGAAAGGATCAAAATCATCCTGTGATAACCATAGAGGGGTTAGTTTAAGTAGTATAACACAAAAGGTTTCAAGAAAAGACAGCTAAATGGTTGGAGAAAAACACTGTATATATAGTATTTTACGAGACAAAATAACTAATAAAAATAAATATGAATTAATTACATGACGTTCTTACATTATTCAAGACAGACAATCTGGGAAAACTTCATGATCTTTATGGTTTACAAAAGCAGTTATCTTTACATCAGGATAATGTATTAAAATAGTTTTTATCTACTAACAAAAAGCAAAATACTGTAAAATAATTATTTCGTCTAATAACGATATTCAATTCATACCTTGAAAAATTTACCCAAAGCAATATAATCCAGTCCATCGGAACAATTGAATACAACACATTGTTTAGCCACTGCTTTTGCGAGATCTTTGGTTGTCTCTGTTTTACCTGTACCAGCTGGACCCTCAGGAGCACCACCCAAATGTAAATGTAATGCACCAAATAATGTTCGATAACACCTATCAGTCAATGGTGTGATAACTAATCTCCCAGTATTACCCAAATATTCATAACCATAGCTTAAGAAAAAGAAATGCATTATAATAAGTAGTAAGCGTAAGATCTCTTTATATTAATGAAAGATTTTTTTAAAAAGTGATTTCCGATCTATAAATGATGTGTTACATGAGAAATTCTATAAGTGGATGATAATTGTCCATGAAACAACTCTCCAGTACTTCATAGTTGTCATTAGTTTACTAGTCATTCATGTACGGTAGAAATTCTCTCGAAATATTGAGTACGAAATGAATAAGTAATAGGGATGATCAAGTTTAGAAGAAAGTGCTTACATACACCATATATCATTAAATTTCCCACCCGAATAAATACTTTCCATAACATAAAGCTTATAAATCATGATACTATTTAATTAAAATAAGTAGTTGAAATTTTATAATTCATAAAACTATATTTCGTATGGACATCAACAATAAAAGGGCTTACTTTAATTGTGAGTTAATCATACGCGTCACTAGCTTTTGTTCAACCAAATAATAACGTAGTTGACTAAGCCATGAAAATTCTGTATTGGATTGACATTTAAGTGATATAAGTTCGGCCAGTACATCACGTGCATGAACATCTAACACAATTAATGCTTGTAATGTTATACGATTTTGTTTAGATAATTGTCCTCTAACCATAGCAACAATTTCATCTATTTGCTGGTTGTTTACCTACAAACATTTATATTTTGAAAGAGAACGGAAAATTAAGGACTGTTACAAAGATGTACACCAAGAACTGGATGTAACCTTTTTTAAAAATGTCTTCGAATACAAACCAAAGGACATTCATATGTTCAAATTCCTGATTACAATCTTATTTGTGAAGTCATATAGTTTGACAATTGAACTGAAAATTCAAACATTAAGTTTCATTTTATAGAGCGGAAGGTATATCGAAAAATCTGATTTCTCGTCTGGTTTATTTAAGTAATAGGTGATGTGATTTTCGTTCCATATGATTTTCAACATGTACATTATGCTTTGTGTACTATAACAATGTATTCTTTTATTGCAATAGAATGTAGCCTCTAAATAAATGGACCGTGAAGTCAATAATAATTTTAGAGAAATTGTTAAATATTAAAAGCTGGAATAAATAGACGACTGTTATTTCAAACTTTTCCGCAAGAGAATAGAAATATAATAAGTAAAATCAAGCTTACGAGTAATTGATATGAGTTTTAATTATGAGCCAATATCGGTTGGAGAACTTCTTAAGGAGAAATAAAATTGAAAATCTGTCTTTCCAGTGGGGAAACGATACATATAGAAATGAAATGCAGAGTCACTGATCATTTGGAAGTCACTAATATGGATGAGCATTCGTCTTAAGAATTTGTTTGAATAATAACGTTAGTGAGTGATCTACAATTTAGGACCAGCACATATATATGCATCGGTCCAAGTTGCCATACCTCATTATCATAACTAGATGAACACCAAATTTATGGAACCATTTATTTCGAATGCAGTAATATATAAAAAAATGATTGTCTATGAGGATATGGTTCAAGGAGAAAGAATTAGTTCGTAGAAAGAAAGGTATAAAGTAATTTTAATCTCACAGTTTAAAGGAAGACAAATAGTGTATACAACTACTTCATTTTTTAACATAGTTGAAGACTGAGGTAATGTGTACGTCATTTTAGTCACAGATCGGTCTCCCTTGGAGTAATATTGAAAATCAGAAAGCACTACACAGATTTCTCGAACGAGGATGTTTCTACTGAACAATGTATATTCATCGTTCTATCAGGAGTTAAACGGAAAGACTCCAGGTTTTGTAGTGAACTTAAAACCCCAGGGACCACTGGATTGAGATCTATTGGTACTATATCACCGACCAATTTATGATATACGAAAATAAACACTCAGTGCTATTGTGGACAAATATTTTGCACTTACTATGTCTGAACCCCACCAGTCATAGCTTCTCGCTAGAACGACTGGAACACTTGTAAGCTGATTATTATAGTTTAATTGGAACGGTTAACGAAGATTATCAGTATAGTTTTGTTAAGATTATTAAGTTTTTAATTGAGATCATGAACCGATTAATGTTAGACCATCATTGAAAACCTGGGATCATTGTTTAACGGTCGTTTCGTGCTGGTATGGAACTCCTCAGAAGTGCGCATCCACGGTCCCGTTCGCAGGATTCGAACCCAGGGCCTTCGGTCTCGCGCGCGAACTCTTAAGCTTTAGACCACTGAGTCGGCGTCCAGCGGTGTTAATGTCTAACCTCAAACGATCCACGATATTGCGCGACCATCTTTCATTGTACTGAAACAGATATTTGTTTCTACCCGACAAGGATTAGCTACACTAGTCATGGCTTCTCAATAGATCCTTGGGCTTGAATTCCACGAGCAGGATCGTAAATGTTCACTTGTGAAGAGTCTCACAATAGGATGAAACGGCCATCAAGTACTTTTAGATTTTCAATGGTGGTATAACATTAATCGGTTCATAACGAAGATTAGTTTACTTTGTGGTTTATATTCATCAAAAGAATTTGTCACTAAATAAGATGATAAGTTATTCAAAATTTATTTACTATAAATATCATAAAGTTGTCGAATGTTAAGGAAAAAACAGTATGTGTTATAATTTGTGAATTGAATACTGTAGTGAACAAGAACACGAGTGGAGACAATCGAAAGCATTCAGCGCAAAATTACAGGACTTTTTAATAAAATCAAACAATCATAAAGTAAATGCTTAATTTGCAAAATATCCATGAATTGTCTCAAAATGAATCGGACATCATTGTTCTTGCCTTTTCATACAAATTACATCCTGTTTCCATTCTTTACTCTTCGATCCTCTTGTCTCTCTGCTGCCAGACCTTCTGTTCACGACTAACATCATATACTACTTATGTCAATATAAGTAACACACGCCGCACTATTTTTTATAGTTGGTCGTTGCTGATTGTTGTGTCAGAAACGCTTATCACTTATACTTAGAACGAGAAACCTCTACAATTCTCATGACGCAAAAATAAGAACACAAGATTGGTATAAGTGAAGATTGATTTACCCTAAAACATGATGATGATGACGACGACCTTACTCGAAAAATACACTCATTTATATATCGATTGTACACTCATTTTGATTAGTAATTAAGATGAAATCACACATTAACCAATCTGGTGAAGACTTTGACAAAATGCAGAGTCTTCTGAACACTCCAAGCAACTAATGATAGGGAGTGAAGTAATTGAGCTTGTCGATCGCTTCACTTATCTTGAGAGTCTCATCAGCCCTTGTGGTCTGTTGTGTGATGAAATCTCAGCACGGATACAGAAGGCTCGAATAGCTTTTGCCAACTTGAGTCATTTATAGCGTAGGTGAGATATCCGTCTATCAACCAAAGGACGTGTTTACTGCACAGCGGTTCGTTCCGTCCTACTTTATGGTAGTAAAACACGGCCGGCAAGAGTAGAGGATATCCACTCTTTGTGTTTTCCTAAATTCTAATCTTCTGAATTCTTCATGTCCTTTGCTTTTTCTCTTTCCAAATTTATTTCACTGGATTATACTCTATGGATAACATCGTCAAACCCTAATCTTTCCAATTACTGCTTATACTCTTACTACCTCTACCACTAATGTGGTGTGGCAACTCGAACTGATGTATGTACGTACGAAGTTCTACGTTGTGACTAACTGATATAACCAATTACGTACTGAGCATAGCTCACTTCAATTCAATACAAGAATAATCTATCATACAAGAAAAAAATATCAAATACTACATTGAATAATCATTACCATGGAATTAAAATAGAAATCATATTGAATAAAATTCATAATGTGAGTAAATCAATTAGAAATTCATTATTCTTTTTATCATTATTATTAATATTAATAGAAATAATCAAATGAATACATACTTTTAAATAATTTTTCATTGCATCAAGACTAATTTGTATTGCTTCTTCAACATTCATTGTCCAATAATACATAGAACCAGCTAATATAGCTTGACCACACCATAATTTAACCCAATCTTTACGTAATTTTATTAAATAATCATTTATTGCATTATTTATATTTAATTGTATTGAATTAATCATATTAATTTCTAATTGTAATAACCATTTTTCAACAGAACCATGTGTATTTAATGTTGATATTAGATTACATAATTGAATGGATTCATTATCACTACTTATAATATGTGTAATATCTAATGTTTTATTAAATAATAATGATGTAATACCTTCAAAACATTTTTTTAAATGAGGTTGTACTCTTAATGGATCATTTGTTTCTGATAAAATTTCTAATAATTCATCATTAGATAAAAAAAAAAATCTTGGAAAATATAAACGTTTTTTTTCTAAATATGTATTTAATCCTTTTAATATTAATTCTAATAATTGATTAGATTTTTTTAATTTATTTAATATATTTTCTATAGTAATAATAATTAATATAGAATGATTAGAATTTGATTGTTTCATTAATTCTTTCCATATTTTATCAATAATAATAAATTTTCTACTTTCATCTGGCATTTGTATTATAATATCAGGTGAATTAAATATTGGTTCTAAATATAACCATGTAGATTGTACTTTTAACCATTCATCAAGTATATCTTGAGTTAATATTAATTTTTGTTCCCAATCTCTTGAAAAAAATTTTAAAAAAAAACATTTTTTTTAAAAAAAAAGAATAATCAGAATGGGTTTTTGTGGAGAGTTTAAGAATTTTCACAAGTTGAAATCATGAATCAGTTGAAGCTAGACCACCATGAAAAACCTGGAAGCACTGGATGGCCGTTTCGTCCTAGTATGGGATTCCTCAGTAGTGCGTATTCATGATCCCGCCTGCCTCCCCCCGCGAGAGGTTGGAACGCGGGACCTATCGGTCTCATGCGCAAGCGCTTAACCATTAGACCACTGAGCTTCAATTGACTCATGATTTCAATTATTGAAATGACTAAAATCTCCACAAAACCTCTTCTGATAATTGTGATATTTAGTTGTTGTGACTTTATATCCGGCTTTTTATCACGTGATTTATCCACCAATTAAAAAAATACGATTTATGCAATCTTAGCACTGTGCCAAAACCAATGACGTTCGACTAGTATGGGTAGCCTAGCATCTTTATTGGTCCTATGTCTGCCAAGGCCATTCACTTGTGTCCGGAACACCAATACCAGATTCCACTATGCGAATCAAATCCTTTATTTCAGATATACTGGGTTTATATATCAACCAAACAGACCGCAACGCATCATAAAATTGGAAATAACATTTGTACACAATAAAGCCAAAAAATGGCTGTGAACGTGGGAGGCAGTATTCAATTAAACTGAACATAGCTTAAGCTATGTTAAGAACAGTAAATCGCACAATAATAAATTATAGATCAAAATAAAGCTTATAACAAGAGGAATATAAATATACATAATATAATTATTGAATAGTTATACCATAAGAATATATAGATAATATTAGTCAATTAATATGTCTCAGAAGTTACCCGTGATTTAATCTTCGCTCGGATATAACATTATTTACTTATCAGTTAAAAAAACTGAAATGTCACTTATTTACTTATGCTTGTTACTTTTTGTGGAGGAGAATAGGTCATCCATTAGCACTTCCCATCCAATCCTGTTATGAGAAACCGTTTCTGGTTCTTACCAGTTGTTATTCATCTTTTTCATAGCTGTTTCTGTTTTTCAATGTAATGTGTTCTGTGGCCTTCCACTTTTCAGTTTCCCTTTAGGATTCCAAGTTAGGGTTTGCCTTGTGATATAGTTTGACGATTTCTACGGTGTATCTCTTACGCATTTCCAGCATCTTTTCTTAATTTCTTCTTCAACTGGAAGTTGATTTGTCCTCTCCCACAGAATAGTGTTGCTGATCATATTCAGTCAATAGATGTTTAGTAACTTGAGTAGGCAATTGTTTACAAATACTTGCACCTTCTTGATGATGGTTGTAGTAGTTCTCGAAATGTCAGCTCCGTACAATGGAACCAATTGTCGTATTAAAGATCCTATCTTTGATATTCGTTGACAGTTATGTTGAGTTTCATATATTCTTCAACTGTAGGAATGCTGTCCTTGTTTTGCCAATCCTCGCCTTTGCGTGTGCATCAGATCAGGTACGTGAGAGTTTAAACCTGTTACAGAGTATTTTCTCTATCAAGTGTGACGGTGTTGCTGTTTTCCGTGTTGTATTTGAGGATCTTGATTTTTGCTTTGTGTATGTTGAGGCCTACTGATTCAAAGGCTGCCGATACACTAGTTGTCTTCATCTGCATTTGTTCGTGTATATGCGATAGGAGGTCTAAGTCAGCTGCAAAGTCCAAATCGTTTACTTGATTCTGAGCTGTCCAAAAAATAAATGTTATCCTAAAAAGGTTAATTTACCCAGTATATATTTTATTTATTGGTGATCTAATTGTTCAGATCTTTCTCTTAACTTCAGCATTTGATCATAATAGATAACAAATTACCTAACACAAATAAAGGTTAGTTATTTCATTGCAGTGTATAGATTATTGGAGGGTTAATCTTTTAATTTGATGTGATATACTGTTCGACTTGTGGACTTAATCAGAGTGGAAATAGAAATTGAGGCTCATTGACGAAATTATTATAATAATGGTTGGTTTTCCTTGTTTATACGTACGGGTAATAACATAAGTTGTTATTGAGATTATGAACCAATCAATATTACACCACAATTGAAAACCTAACAATAATCAGTTCATGATCTCAAATAAAAACTCAAAAAATCTCCACAACTCTATATTGATAATAATATGAGTCTTGAATCCATCAAATGTAATAACATAACTTTGGCCAAGTCATTTTGAACCTATACTTTAAATAAAATCAGTTATATCAAAGAACCTAAAATCCCTGAGTTCGTGAGACTACATCGAATCAATACTAAAGACAGTCTATTTGTCCCGAATTACAAGGAAATGTGTCTATACTGTGTACCTCACTTATTATTGATTCTGAAACTAATTTCATTCCATTTTGGTAGAAAAAATTTGTAGCTTAGTAATGAATCATCCTACTGAATATCAACAACATATTGTACAATCATCCTGATCGATTAAACTTTTGGCATGAATATGTCATATATTTAAGGAGAGTAAAATTCAATTTAGAAACTGTAATCAATAATGATGATTATGTGATTAAGTGTTCCCAATAATTTGCCGAAATACTACACATAACCTCTTAACCTGAAACGTCATACTTTAAAAATTGTGTGTGTGTCTTTAAGGCTGAAACTTCAGTGGGACATTTGTATCCATCTAGCTAACTAAGGTTAACATGAAATGTAGATAACAATAATCATTTATTACACATAAATTGCAAATAAATGTAAGGACCAATGCTACAATCAGTCTAATAAGATATGCAATGCTAAATTTAGGATTTATCATCAAATCGATCAATAATAAATAAATGAAAGTTAATCACTAATCATCAAGGTGAAATTTTCGTTGAGGTTGTTCAATTTGTAGTAAGTTTTCACTATGAATTAACATATTATTTGTGGTCACTAAGGGTTAACTTATTATCATCGGTTACTGAAGTCGGAAAAATGTTTGGATTATCCAGTTCTTACTCAATGATGTTGGCTTCTCGTTAAGTCTAATACATAAGTGCGTTTAAATATCAAATAATCATAGAAGAGCAATACCAAAACAAAAATAGTCTTCCATAAATTGTGGATGCTCAATCTTTCTTCAGCTGATTTCAATATACAATAAAAAATCAACCTGAATCATTTTAATTTACAATGATTTAAGTCATCCCCTTGTGGATATATTCGACGGAATTTTGGTCAATTTTAATTGATATATGCGCTTCCTTTAGGTAATTGCCACTGTCTATTCTATAGAACTGAAATCACTTATATATATATATATATATATATATATATATATATATATATATATATATATATATATATATATAGTATGTAACTTACTTGATTTCCGCTTCGAATGGTTTAATATATGGTGATCCACGCATTGTTTGAGTTTTTACAATATGATCATCCAACAATACTTGTATATCATCCACTGAAGAAAGTATAAATGTACCACTGTCACGATATGGTATCAAGTTGAGCTCCATCTATAAACAAAAATAATTAAAACAAAAAAGATCAATATCAGATGGGTTTTGTGGATATTATAGTAAATTCAATGGTTAAGATCATGAGTCAATTGAAGCTAGACCACCAGTGTTTCTAGGTTTTCCATGGCGGTCTAGCGCTAACTGACTCATGAATTTAACTATTATATTATTGATTATTGTACGTGTAGTCTTGCTCAATAAATATCATTATTAGTAGAAAGAGAGGAGAAGTTGTAAAACTCCTCAGTTAAAATGCAATTGAAATTACCCAAATATAATTAATTGGTAGTTACCTGTACATCAAAAGTCCTACACGCTTCTACAATGATACACTATGCATTCACTTAGAATAAATTACTTTTATATAAACATTATTAGTAATAATAAATGATTTATTTAAGACTAGAAATTTTGGTTCAGTAGGGAATTATCAGTATCACTTGTGCAATATCCCAACAAATCTCTGTTTATCGTCTATTCAGATTGTAATTATTCGAAAACATGTTATACAAATGTTTTTCTATAGCCAATATCTCCCATTTATCTTCAACCAGGGACGTTTTCTACCAGTACAACTGCCATATCTATATTTTCTTTCTGTCCTATATGATGTGGACGGATTCAACTATATTTACCTTTTCTTCTTTAAATGATACATAATAAATAATTTGCACGAACAACTGCAATCTTTCCGGTTGAGTTTTCCCGTCTTTAGCAATGCAGTAATTTGTAAGCTTCCTATGATAACAGTTAAATACATACACAATTTGTATTGAAAAGTATTCATCTAAAACAGACCTAAAATAGGAAAGCTTATTGCAATATATATAGATTTGGAAAACAGATTACCCAAATGTTTTACCATGTATATATGTCAAAAATCTAAACTGTACGTACATAAACATTATAGCAAACATGTAACTATCGGTTGAATTCACTTACTGATTCCCATTCTTTATGCATTTTATCCAATGTTTTTTCAAGACTATTTTCTTTGCTAGCAGCTTCTGAGATTGAGTCGAATTTAGATATGTACGGATCAAGATTCATATCAATCAATTTAGATAAACAGATTCCTTCTTCTTGATTACTTACTGTAAAACCAACTATTTCTGAAATCTGTTCCCAGTGTCTTTCACGTAAACCTGGGTTGAATAATGCACGTATTAGCGGTAAATGTTCTTTGAATTCTTCGACCTTTCCACGAACTTGTGTAGCAATTTTTCGTGGTGCTGGTAACGTATCAAATGTTTTCTCCAGTTTGAACAAACTACGATAATAGTTTGATACGTCCATTTCTACTTTTTCTGGTTCAACCTTATCCATAGATCCTTCCATCCATTCTTTATGTTTCTTATTGAATTCTACTGTCATTTCATATAGAGTTAAAAATGGTTTCAATATATTTTGTATTTCATTACGTAGTGGATAAGATGTTGTTTCCCATTTCAATGCTTCTTCATCTGCATTGAATCCATCTATTTTACTTAAAGCTATTTCCAACTTTGAATTTAAACTTTGTGCTTTCTTCAGATATCGATTTATTTCATTCAGATCTCCATATCCTTGGAATTTATCCACTTGTTTTCTATATGATTCAATTTCTTCAATAAATCTTTCACGTTTATATCTCAGACTAATTTCAAATTCTTCACGTTTTGTTTGTGCAATACGTCGACTTTCAGCGAATACTTCATTCATACGTGTATGCCATTCAAATACCTGACTATTAATACGCATATCTGATGGATTTAATTGTGCATGATCCATAAGAAATAATAAGCGATCTTTACAATTATCCAGCTCACGTTCTAAGGTGTTCATTGTAACTTTTTCTGCATGATTAACAAATTCATTGATTTCTATCATATGTGAAATATCAGTTGGAACAGTTAACGCTTTGGCACTAATAAGTTCATATTCCTTAATCAAACTAAATAGTATGAAAATATTTGTTTATAATTAATGGTTACTTAATAAGTTATTAAGTAGTTTAAATCTTAAATTCCATGAATCACAGATACCTTGAAATTTATGTCGACTATGGTCAAAAGTATTTACATCTAGTGAATTAAGTCATAATCAAGATTTAACGAAAGAACTATGCTACAGAGATGTTAATTCATTATTTATAGCTCCCATTTATACATATAATGAGTAAAATATGATGTTAGTAGCATAGTGGGAATGATGTATCATGAATTATCTGAAAAATAACCTGAAGATATGATTAAAATCAGACAACTAGAGCAAAGTTAATAGAACATAAGAGTAAAAATTACTGAAATAAGACTTAAATAACCTCACTAACCAGTATTAGCTACGTTAATCTCATTGTTGCAATGTCTAAAAATTGTATAATTCGGATAACATTTGTGAATCATTCAACTCATTCATTTTTGGTAGTTATTTCACAGTGTTAATCATCAATCTATGAACATTTAAATTTGATGCTTTTGATAAAACTAAACCAGATTGTACTCATTCTAGCTGATGGAGTTATACTTCTCAAAATTGTTCCATAACTTAAGATACACTAGGTTGACAATACTCAATTATAAACATCTCTTGAAGTATGTGTATTCTCAGCTGAAGTTACTGATGAGCAAATATTCAGTGATTTTTTTGTGCCCAAGTATGCTATGTTTGTTGAAAATCAATAAGTATTGGACGGTTTTATGTTCCTAATATGAGAACGCTTTAAAGTGCACATCCACCACCCCATAAAGGATCGAAAAGTGGACATTGTGAACTGGTGGTAACCACTCAACCTTCGGACCAATAAGTTGAGATTCAGTAGTCGACATCTCTGGTCGCGGTTAGTTCATATTAATGCATGACCGTTACCCATTATCATTGGTAACATTTTTTTCACGCTCAACATGATTGAAGTCAATTGGGCACGACTTCCTATTCGAACTTCGTGAATTACCCCTCGGATTTAGTCTTTTGTGACGACATGATGATTATTGTTATAAGATGTTCCTGAAAATTGTTGAATTTAAAAATTCACATCTTGATTGATTTTCGTTATATAACAGTTGAAAAACAGTAATTACTGTATAGCTGTTTCGTCTTAGTATGAAATTCCTCAACATATAACATATTGTTTACTGCTCAGTGATTAATCAGTTTAAATTTCGTTAATAGTCAACTTTTTCATATGATCACGTATACAAATAATGGAAATACAGAACATATAGGTTAAGTGTGACGAATACAATGTAGATAAAATTAGAAATTTACGTTTTATTCATTATTCTATGATCTTCCAAAATGCGTTCCAAAATACGATCTGATATATTTTCAGCTCGTTTAGTTAAAGAACGAATTAATTCATCACAATGTACTTCAAATAATCCCAAACAAATTGTACGTCTAGATTCATACTGAATTCTTTTTACTAAACGATCATATTTTAATAGTTCACGTGTCAATTCTTCAAATGATGGTCCAATCGGTTTATTTTCAATAACATCTTTTTCAGACGCTTCTTCTTCTAATCTCACTTTATCATCAAGATTATCTTGTAAATCGTCATCATCAGTGGATTCAGTGGCCTGAACTGTTAGTTCTTGTACTGGTGGATTTAATAACAATTCAATATTTTGTTCAGCCTGTGAAATAAGAAGAGATTTTGTCATAAAATATAGTCATTTGCCAAAATGAACTATATACATAGAGCAAACTGTGCTGCTTCAAACAAATATACAAACAATATGTTACGGAGGAAAGACGATACATAGAATGTGTTTCCATCAGTCACTAGTTCGAAAAAGTAATTTCTATATCATCACGAACTGATCTCAGAACATGACACCATAGCTATTGTATTGTAATTCATCATCTCTAATCTATTGATTCATTTGGTTCTTTACGGGTTAAGTACTGAAAAGGATTAAATTCTTTGTCAAACATTTTAAACTTGACCTGAGGAAGCGAAATTTACCAGTTAACTCACGATACAGAAAATAATTTACCACACACAGTATTCATCTTGTCTCAGGGAATATATGAAACCGGAAAAATTTAACTTCATATTTGAAGTCCACAGTATTCTGGTTTCCAATGTTTGTTTAAATAAACTCACCTCATGATGTAAATTGCCTTTAAGTTAAATAGTCTATACAAAATCCTCATTTTAACGTCAATAGTTATCATAAATGTTAAACAACTTTCACAAATGAAAAATATGATCGCCTGCCAACTCAGTGGTTTTAAATATTAAGGAGCCACTTCAAGATCTAAAGGTCACAAGTTTAAATTGCAGCATATCTGTGGGTAGACATTTCTGAAATGTTTCCCACTATGATTAAACATTTGTCCAGTGCTCCTTGATTTTCAGTGGTATTGTGGTGTGTACTACTGATGTCGACACATGTAAGTAGTATGTATCATCAATATAAAGTGAAATACCTAGCGGTAGAAGGTTAAAAGGATCGAAGAAAAAAGAGAATGAGAACAGAGAATCATTACTGTGAAAACGAAGGAACAATGAAGTCTGAAACGATTGATTGGTATTTCGCGAATGAACTATTTATTGTATCATTCTTAGATTTTTCTAAGATATTCTGTAATTTTAATGTTCAAATACATTTGATTGTCCCTATTTGTGTTCTCATTCATTACAGTATCACAAATGAAATCAATCCTTAACAAATATAACCTACAAATCGTATATATATATATATATATATATATATATATATATATATATATATATATATATATATATATATATATATATATATATATATATATATATATAAAATAACACTTACTTGTCTATTGACTAAAAATTGATATTTATCATATTCTCGAATATGTAACTCTGGTCCTTTAAGTTGTAATAATAACGTTTTTCTAACTTCATATTTACGTTCCTCTATAATGTCACTTAAAATAATTGGATGTAATGTGACATTATCAGATTGCTAATGAAAAGATAAAATAATTGTAGTACAATATGAAAATTAATGTAATTGAAATAATTCAATAGTAATAATAACGTATTATAATACTGAAGAAAAAAAATATGTAGTTTTACGCCTACTAATCCTAACCTCTCTTTTCATATTACATTTTAATAAATCAGTAAAATAAGTGAATTCAAACATTTATAGGGTGTTATATTTAATTTCACTGATTGAAATCATGAGTCAATTGAAGCTAGACCACCATGGAAAACCTGGAAGCAATGTACGGTCATTTCATCTTACTATGGGACTTCTCAGTAGTGCGCATCCACGATTCCGCACCCCACGAGATTCGAACCCAGGATCTATCAGTCTTGTGGATGCGCACTGATTAGGAGTCCCATACTAGGATGAAACGACTGTCCAGTTCTTCCAGGTTTTTCATGGTGGTCTAGCTTCAATTGACTCATGAATTCAATCAGTGAAATTTCTAAAATCTCCACAAAACGCCTTCATATATTTAATTGTCAAAATGAACTATTTCACTTACTCATTTATGATTTTACTTCTTTTTTATTGTTTGTTTAAGTTTGTAAAACCTTTGCTTATTTTGAATAACTTGCTCATAGAATCTAATTTCTCTTTTATTCGTTTGTTGATACTTCCTCATGGTATAACATGAAGTGTTTTACAATTTATAGTCAATTTTTCTTTATTCCCTTACGTAAAGGATGCATTTTTATATTTATCACTAAATCCATTTAAATAGATAGATCTAACAACTAAGCTATACATAAAATCTCATAACTGAAAGATAAACTTTAACTAAAATTACAGTATTATTATCAAGAACAAAATGAACTGTAAAATATTTATAAACTGTAAAATGTAAGGTACCTAAGTATCAGTTACATTATCATAAATATAATCAATCACTACATGAAAGACACTTCCATGTGTGATTTACCTACATTAATAATAGTAATCTCTATTTAGTTATGAAAATAGTTATTCAAAAAGGATAAAAACTTGCTCATGTATTTCTTCAATAGATCAAAGATCAAAAAGTTAAGAATGTGCAAATATATGAATTTGTTTGTTTTTCCATATTGTTGAGTATCATAACTGTTGAATGAAACCATTTTTATAAACATTACGTAAGGTTTACTGTTGGTAATTGTACATAAAATATAACTAATAACTTCACTTGGTGTTGTTTTACTTGTATTTTCCCATTGTTATTTATGACTGCAATTGATCAGTCTCTTATTGGCATATGTGCATACTGTGCGGATTGTCTCGGTATAGCCTTAGGTCACAAGCTTTTTAAGCAAAGATGGATAGTAGGTAGAAATGGAATCCAAGACGTGCGTTTCGTCCTATTTGGGATTCATCAGTTAGATGTACCTGCATTGAAGAGTTTATGTTCACTCCGGGACGAAACGCGCATCCTAGATTTCACTACCAGCCACTATCCATCTTTGCTTAATATAACTAATAGTTATAAACGATACTTTTCTGTAAACTTAATTGTTGATCACATTTACTGATGTTAATTAACTCATACTCTTTAAAAATATTGTACAGTCAAGTATTATTGTTCATTGATAGATTTACAAAACTTGTTTGTTGAAATCTCGTTACTAGAGAGTGTCAGAGTATATGGCTATCATCATCTGGAATTTGAATGAGGAAAAGAGAATCTTTCCCGTGACCAAACCATCATCCTTTTTACCATGTAATTAATTAGTTAATTAACATAATTATGTTCGACTGGTGATTACTGGAAATGAGTTATCAGATAACAACATCCATTAAAATTTTAATACCACAGAAAGCTTGAGTTGGGGAAATTCCTTTATGATTAGCTTAAGCTAAAATAAATATCGATAAACCTAATAATGAGGTACTTAACACTGACTTCTAACCGCTTCTTAGTTCCTCAGATGTCTAGGGCATTTGAAAGCCTAACAAAAGACGAAGAGTGAGAGATATGAAGTGGAATTTCATTTCTAAGGCTGGTTTAGGTATAAAAAACTAAAATATTCATTGTTTTATGGGTGGCTTTGATATTATAGAAGCTTCTGGAAAAGTGCTTGATTAAGTTTCAAAATCAGTAACTATTCATTTAGCGTATGGTACATAATTCATCGTCCTTCTAGGAGTTTCTCGAGACTTACTATTGGAGGCTGATTTAATAAAGTAATTGTAGCCTTTACCAACTTCTGGGGAATTATCGGGATCTCTAAACAGAAATGGTCTTGAGGTTATCAACAACTATCTTGAAACAAATATCAATCCGAATTCGTTTAGTACTGAGCTACCTTTCTCTATACATATCCTTTATCTTAGTCGATTGAAGAAATGCCAAATATCATAGTGAATTAAATAGATGTTTTATTCTAACTTAGGATCTTTAATCATAAATGTACACTGAAGAATAGGCCAAACAAAATTTTAGACTTCAATCTGTTTGATTTATGAAATGTAGTATAGCTGAATTAAATAAAGGAATCAGTTGGCTAAATCACTATTCATATTACTTTACATTATCCGAATTGTAATCAGTCTATTGAAAAGATCTACAAAGTGATTGTACATGATCTTAGATATTTAAATAGTGAAACAGTAAAGGTAACTTGACAATATCTTTTGTGTCTGCATGTACACGAATTATTAAAAAACTCAATAGCTTTGAGTGGTTAGAGCTAACTGGTAAAAGGCATGACTAATATGTTGAAACTTATTACAAAGATACAACTGTAATCTGCTCGATACATTTTCAAAAACAGAAAGTGTTTTTATTTAACATTGTATTGTGACATGTTACTGCTTGTGATATAAATGATTTTCAGTTGTTTCCATAATACATACAACACTTACCCAATCAGAATAAAGACGAGTTTCAATTTTAGGTATACTCTGAATAACATTATACATATAATCGAACATATTCAATAGTGTACTTTCGAATTCTTCTATAGATGGCTCAAATTTTATCATATTCTCATCTAGAACAAGACGTAGGATAAATCGAGGATGTTGCTGACCGTTCGGATTAATCTAAAACAATAAATAGAATAAATATTAGTATCTTTTTGAAAAAGAACTTTCTTAATAATTTCATGGAATAGAAACAATTATTGTTACAATTATTCATTCATTCACTCAGTCAGATATTAGCAACATAGAACGTCGTATATGTGTATCGGTACAAATTAAGACAACATATCAACTGAAATAAATGAAATTATTGAGACAAAAGTCGGAGTAAAAATAATCATATCAGTGGTTGTGGAGAACGTTAAGTATAAATAATATGATTCGACAAGAATGAATGAGATGGTAGAACACAACAGTGAAAAATGATTGTGTAACATAAAACCAAAGGGGAGATAAAGAGAGAATGTATATGTGTCACTGTGATCGATTCTGATACATGTTACTAAATATCTCTAAACATTGTGAACATTGGTTAAGATAATAACATGGACCCCAATCAAGGGGCCTGCGCCTATACTAGGAGTGTTAAGATCAAATACTAGTCATTACTCATAATATATTTTTACAGAACATAGTGAAGTCTTAATCATATCTTTAAGGATATCTTTGATCAATTTAGCATTTGGAATGGGGGTACAAATGCTAATGATATAAGAACTTCTTACACAACTTAACAAGTTCCAGTAACGTCTTTTTATTATTAAGTACGTCTTTCTAAGTCAGAAACTATCATAAAACTTTCTAAATGATCCAATCAATTGTTTATTTTATGTTAAGAATCATAACAACTAATGAAATTGGCCCAGGATTTGGGAGTTAGTTAAGAAGAGTAAATACAGCTACATTGATTAATTAACCTTTTTCATATCTCATACTTCCTTTAATTTCAATCAGTTGATATTGGTTTTTTTGAAATCTTCATATTTCTTTCAATTTTTCAAAGTACATTATAAGTTTATTCCAATTACTCTGGTTTTTTAATGCAACAATAATTCATCACTATTAGGCACCTGCTTTTAATAATAATAATAATAACTTAAAAATATACATAAAACAAATTGTTACCACCTACTGGTAATTGACAGATAAGATTTTTGTAATCTGACATTGAAATTAAGCCAAGGTTTTGTAAATTCTCTGTCATCAGTGTGGCTGCACATCTATAAAATGCTTCAAGTTTCAATGGTTCATCATTAGTCGGAACAAGTTTACGTCTATTTCCATGATAGAAAATACTTTGTATTTCATTGAGCCATCTAAAAGAAGAAATATTAAAAGCAATTAATAAAGTTAAATTTTCAATCGTTAAAGTATAGAGGACAGCCACCGTAATGATAAATAGTATCCAAGCGAGTTCATTTGCTTGCTAATCTAATATACATAAAATATGAGATCAGTTTTTAAAAGAAGTACTGCATTGCATGCTCACTAATTGATCACTGAGTAGTAACTAATGCCATTACTGTTTAGTCCTTAATCTGGTAGAAATCTGTGGATCAGGTTGCAATATGGCAACTAGTTTTAGAGATCTTACACTATGTACGTTGTCTTTTAATGGTAGGTGAATGGAGGTAGTGTGGTGTTTGAATTAACTAATGATTCTTTTGTACTTGTTGGTTGCTCAATTTCGAATTCAAAATACAATACATTCGTTCGTGCTTGTCCAGTAATTCTTGATTCGATTACGTTAATTCTGGGATTCCTAATTCATACGATAATTCAAATACTTTCAAATATTATAGGTAGTCCGTAAGAAGTCGTGGATTTGGATTTTATACTAGTCGGTACATGGAGAACTCGCGATCCCGATAGAACTGATGCTTACTGCAAGTTTGGAACCCATTCTGTAGCTTGAGCTGTTACCGATGAGCTGTTCTTCCCAGCACCGACCACCTAGACAACTAATATGTCATACGTTGGTTAGTCATTATGAAGCAACTAACGTTATATATATTACCAGTACTTAATGGTAATGGAATTTTTAGGGGGTTTAATATCAGGCGATCGAAAGAATTCGATCAGCTTCAAAGATTGGACATGAACGATAGTGGTTACTTGTCAATAATAACTGTACGTACCACGGTCTTCAAAGGTTCCGTTGTGGACATAATGGCTCAGTGGTAACGTCTCTGAATGACTCAGATCAGTGTTCAGGTTAAACATCGTCTCCTTCATGGTCATAGATACGTTTTGCTGGTGTGTGTTAAAGAGCAAGAAATCTAGGTTCAGGGATCCCGATCGATTGCCTCGAATTACAATTTGCGTTATTTCACCCCAATAAATCTCGACACAGATTCAAAAAGCTGGCTTGACTTTTGATGGGTTGCGCCAGCTGTGCCACTCTGGCAAAAAAGGACAAACATACTTCCCAAAGGTTCTCTCTATCATACTTTATCAACATGAAAGATGGACTTTAAAATTAGAAGATATTCGTGGGTTGCTAGTATTTGACCTCAAATTCCTTCAAAATATTAGGACCATCGAGTGAGTAACGCTGAGGTTTGACTCAGAGTAGTGGGCAGAGAGGGCAAAGTGTCAGATGGAGTAGCGAATCTTTATTGACTGCGGTATATACCCACCACATATCTGGACACTCAAAGTTGCTCGGTTTAAAAGTTGTTTAAAAAGAAACAAAACTACCTCCTAAGGCATACATTACCATGATTAAATATACTAGCGTTTAAAATAGAAAAGCACTTAATTATACCTACTTTTTTGTCAGTTTCTCTTTTGTCATTTCAATGTGCTTCACGCAAATTTGTTGAAATGTGGATAATTCCAAAGCTGATGGTTTCGAGTACACTTCTTGAATATCGATTAATCTTAGGTCGCTAGGATAAAAAAGTTTTGTGGTTATTAGAAAATTAACTAAGGTATGAAAATAAAATTTGTTTACTGTGAGTTTAAAAGTTAACTTGCCTAAAATTGGTATGGAAATGACAACCTACTTCTAGTTTATACCAGAAATTAAAAAATTAACATCTTACATTTACTAGTCGATCAGACGTAATAATTTACCAAATTTGTAGGCGATACAAATATCTAAAATCGTAGCACCTGAACACATTACTGATTAAAATCTTGAATTCTTGGTACAATGTAAATGAGAATTAGAAACTAAGCAGCTGTTCTCGAAGGTTTAGTTCATGCAATGTTTACACGAAACTATACTGTTTTGAGACACCGGAAATATAGTATACTATAAATATATTTTTCACCATAAGAGCGAATATATAAGATTTACAAGAAATTGACTTACGCAAATTTAGTGTACCATAAATTCAATAATTGATGAATACAAATGTTTGTTATAAATAAATTTCTTTGACAGTATTTATACGCTGACAAGAACGTTGAATGCCATGGTTTTGGTACAGTATCTAATTCTTTACGATACTCTGACACGCTGTGTTCTTCGGCATTTTTGTCAGAAATTATGTCTGACCCATATGAAACTTGTTTTTTATCGGACGAATCATCGAAAACAAAGTTTACAATGGCTTTCTTCACACTAAGTAAATAATCCTTGCGTATTTCATCCTCTAGCTCTTCTAGTAAGGCCATGTTAGTAGATTTCTGGAAAAAAATCGATGGAATTACTGGAAACTATTAATATCTCTTTTTACAAATTTCTTCAATTTTATAAACTAGTTATTTCTCCTTTTTCAGTGATTGTTTCATACTGACAGCAAAAATAAGGCTAAAAGAGATAGAAATTTCTAATATAAATGGACTAAAAACGTTTGTGTTTCGCCTAAGCCAAGTCTTTTAAGACGAATGTTTTCAAGGTAAAGTAGGTAAGATTGATAGGACAAGTGATCATTTATAAAGCAGTGTAATTCAGTATAAACCAAGTTGTGGGGCTCGAACAAACGATTGAATGGAGTATTCAAATTAATGTTTGTTGGCCTTATGTGTATCAAAACGATAGTCTACAAAACAGTAATGTGTAGTAATCACTATCTTGTTAAGCTAGGATTGCAAACTTTATGATGGTAAACAAGAGTAACAGGATGACAGTTACGTCAGAAAAGTGTAAAAACATGCTTTTTCGGGTTTATTAGCTAAAACATTCTTATTTTTATGTCAAGTAGGACTCAAGTATACATTATTCTACTTAGCTATGTCAATAGACACTTTAAACGTGATTGTCGTTAGGCGTTTACACACATTGGCGTTGTTGTAGGTTGTCGCGCAAAAATTATGGATACAGGCTGAGCAAACAAAACGGGAATAGAACAAATTGGCACACAAATGTGATAAAATCTTGCACTCTTATGTAAATGCGAATTCCAAGTAAATGCTTAATATATACATGCTCATCCACAACTTCGAATAAAATGCTGGGATCCACTCACAAGAGATTAAGTCAAGTCTACCTTTTAAAGAGCGCCGTGTACAAAATCACTGAAAGTTTCCAAAGCAAAATAATGGAGATGGTTTATGAGTGCTTTAATATAATGTAAAAGTTCATACTAACGTTTGTGAAAGACTGAAAGGTAATTTTTTCACAAAACATCGAGGGATAATCTATCATTGTCACTCACAACTTTTAAATAACCTTAACTTTGAACGTCCCAATTGGTTTTGGGAACTTATAAGTAATTCAAGGAGTCTTGGATTCAATGGCCAAACAGAAGTATCTCATTTGTTTTCTAATGATTTTTTACTTACTTATATTGTCCGCTAACTTGCAATATAAATATATTTTTAAAAATATCCCTGGAGATATGTCTAAGCGTGAAGTTTGAATAAAACTGTTGCGAATTCATAGATTTCTTCCCTTAATTATCACATGAGGCTAGGATTTTAGAGATCACAAATTGAAAAAACCCCGTATTGCGATTTAAAATCTGTCACAGCATAGACCATAAGTTCATTCTTGTTTGTTCGGTTTTCAATTGATGTGAGGACGTAGCCCCAAGACTTCAAAGAGCTTATTCAGTCCATTATTACTTAAGTGATATTCTATCAGATCAAGGCAGGGGCGTGTAAAATATTCCCAACACGGTTAGAACAACTCAGATGAAGCCAGAGATTTAGAAACTAGGAATTGATTATGATTCAAAAGTTTTCACTATCATGTAATGAAACCCTATGATTCATGGCTGAAAGAAATGTTTTGTTCCCTTGGTTGACTCATTCAAGAGAAGAGGGGATTTATAAATTAAAATGCTAGGAATGAATAACGCAAGTGCCTTTCTCCTTGTCTCTAAAGTGTTTAATCCAAGAATTTCAAAAATTCAAAGCATAAGAAATTGATTCATTCTGCGGCCAGTTAAGAATAAAGCCACAATAACTCCTGAGATTTCGCTCCAACATTCTCAAATGGTGGGGAAGCACATTAACATACGTATACACAGTTAAAAAACGAAAATGCATACATGAAAATCCGCTTTAATTGAAGACACTACACGCTGCACCCATTTATCATCCATTGGAGCCACGTCGTCAGTATTAATGCCATTATAGATATAGTAATAATACCTCTAAAATATTTAGACACGACTTAAATAAATAATTTACCAAAATTTTCTTTTCTTTATCAGCGATGCTTTTAATTGGACCGACATCAGGCGTAGACAACATCGAATTTTTACTCAAGATCGTTTTAAGCTCACCGCATGTATCAACAGCTGCATCTTCACCACGACTTATTTAACTACATTAGGCAAGGAAACAAAAACATACGTTATCAAATCTACAAGTTCCAAGCGAAAGCTTTCACCAGCCTTTCGCTTAACGTTTGCTTCCGGGGGCTCAAAAATATCCTTCTTCCTTTTTCTTTTGTCTTCTAAAGGTTTAATAAGCATTTTAGACAATTCCAAAGTGAGATAAATACTTTTGCTGATCTCCTTCAAAACATCGAGTTGTGGTTCTCCCTGTAAGCCAATTTTTGTGTTAACTGAAAAATGTGGGATTTCACTTCTCCATGAGGGTTGGTGTCGCTCATAGTCGAAAACAGGGAGCATAAAGTTAGGTTGTGTATATTCCTTAGCGTTGAGTTTGGATTTCGAGGGTTTCTTAATATGGTAGTTTTTATTCGATAAAATAGATTTGCAAACCATTTTATGCTATTTCCAGCCTATAAACAATAATCACATCACTTGTATTATAAAAGTAGATAAAACGCGAATTTGAACTAACGCCTTTGAGGTCACTATAGGGGATGGTTACATCATGCACTGAAACACGTCAACCACTAACTCGTCCTAAATCATTTCTCCACTCCCACCATAACAAAAACAGTAGATCAACAATTAAACAATAACTTTTAGCCAAATTTCTGTCTATACATACCTCTTTACAATGTTCTGCAATCTATCTCACATATCCAAGTAGAGTTATAGCCCGAAATCCACATCTCGATGTTATCGAAACATTCCAAATTTTGAGCAGAGTCTCTTAAATTTAGTCAATTGACGGTAACAACAGTTCTGGTGAGTTCAACAGGTTGAAAGAGAGTACTATGATTCTGGTTACGTTAGTTTTTTCTGAGTCTATCATGTTATTACGGAGAAGTCTGCTTAGTTGTACTGAAAAAGTGAAAATATAATAAAGGTTGCAAAAGGAATAATTTATGTGGAGTACATGGGAGTTAGTATGTCGCGTTCCAATGATTGTGAGTGTTATTAAAAATCATTATGTATATCATAGTAAAGGAGAAGTTGATGAATGCTTTGATTCATTTTATTCTTCCTTTTATCCAGTGGTTTGACTGGAAGATAGCGGTAAACACGTACAAAAAAATTGCTTAGGTTGTTCATGAGTCAATTTATTGAAGGGGCCAAGGTTACACTAACAACGCAAGTTTTATTTATACTTTTCATATTTTTGGTCTGTTGGTCGCGCAACATATTTTGCTACAGTTTCTACGCTCTTTTAGATGTCAACCAAGTATTTATCATGCCTTGAAGTTTGCTGACAAAGTGAATAACAAGGTGGGTGAAAAAAGTGGGATGTAAATAAGAGTTTGTTCAGTCACCGTCTTTGAACACCCTTGACTAACCCATGTATCTGACTCCTGTTTAATCTCACGAAGATTCTATGAGCACATATCTTCCATTTCGCGTGACAGTTGTAACAAAAAGCCAAACGTGTTGCGTCGGATGAATTTATATCAAACATTCATTATTACGGATAGACGTTCAAAATAAGAAGAGGGAAGGCGAAGCAAAGTGGAAAAGGAAAGTGCCCCAACTCGATTTGACCAAGTGTGACCCAATATTTATCGTCAAACCGAAATGCGTTTCAGACATGTATTGAATAGGATATGGTGTTGATGTAGTCATAGAATTTGACATATTATGATGTACATTTTTACTAAAGAACCAGATTATGCTGCGAATTTTGCTTGGGTCGTAATTTTTATTTGCCACGTTCGACTGCGTTACTACAGACGTACGTTTTATGCTGGAATGATATCCTAAGTCATAGTAAGTTTAATAACATCGTTGATTTCTTTCAAGTAGACCAACAATGATTAACGTTACCTGAGGGAGGTTTGTTTTGCTATGAACTATGTTTTTCTAAGCAAGTGACTGTTGTCTTCAGTTTCAAAACCATATCGTTTATCTTCTTTTAGGTAATTCGTACTGGCCTATAGTTCGTGTTTTGGGTTTACAGGCTTAATTATCTACATTTAACTACTTTGAGTAACGTTTCTTTACAAATGAAACAATTATTATGACACATGATTAGTTTAGTATTTTTGGTTATCGTATAACTAAGTTTAGCCGATAAAACTATTTTATGCTTAAGTATAGTGCGCGAAGCATGTAATGAAGCAGATCAGTCTAGTAAGCAGGGCTGCTCATTCATTCCCCTTAGCATCCTTAAGCGTTACAACTAGAAAACGATCAGTGTAAAATTGTGTTTACAGTAGAACGCTTATAGCTCCAGGAAGATGAAGTTGTGAGCTTAGAATGTGTGCATAACAGTAAGAATCACAATAATGTTATGTTGATGTATCACACTCATCATATTCCCACTAGCCCTAACATATCACTAATTTATTTCGTTAATACGTTACACGTAATATAGTAGTGATATATTCATATATTGACCCATTGTATAATAATTTATATATTCTTAAAATAACAGTTACATAATTCACGCCAATTTACAGGCAAGATCAATTTGATATAAATAATGACATGAGATAAACAGAACAATCATGTGATAGAAGAAAGTTTTAAGTATAAAACCGATGCATATATGTGCCTGGTCCTACGTCGTAACTGGCTGATACTGGTTCAGTAAGTGTTTAGGTAGTACATGTATTACAGCGATCCGATGCATCAGCCGGGAACTTTTAATTTTTCTTCAATGGACAGCCTGTTGATTTATTAAAGGTGTAATTAAGGTCATTTCCTGTGCCCGATCGTATTAATGATAATTATCTACAACTAGAGAAATCAAAACGAAGACAGAGAGCACGGAACAACAAAGCAGTGATTATCAAATTATGTCAATCAGGTCTACTGAAATGCATGTGTCATGTGACACAGTGATCTACTGTTGATGTTAGATATTATTCAAATAAGTTAAAGTTGCTAGGGTCTGTGTTAACATAAAGTGACAACATATAGGTGGATTTACTTAGGGAATGCACTAATAAAAATGGCTAAACATTTAAAGTTCCTATAATATCACTTGTGGAATGAGTTACACTTACAAGTGCTAGAAAATTCAAAGCATTTTCAGAGGATCAGTATTCATCAATGCAGCGAACAAATAATGAGAGTGATTTTATCATACGGATAGATTGTGGTAGGTTATTCCAGAGTCTGGAAAATTCACAGGTAAAGTAATTCATATAGAGAGATACCTTAGAATAAGTTTGGTTCACTAGAGACAAGAATTTACGGATGTCATAATGAGAGGTTTCTGCATAGGAATTGCAGTGACTCCAAAATGTATGTCCTATACACTCCCAACGTTTTTCTCTAATATCTCGAGCTACGAGTTGTTTTGTCCCTTCCCTGATGGTATCTGGCTAACGGATATTGAGTATCTTGCGTAGACAACTGTTTACAAATTATTTTACACTTAGGATGATGGTTGTGGTAGCTCTCCAAGTTTAAATTTCGTACAGTAGGATTGTCTGTTGTATTCCATGTTTTCTATCAAATGTAAAGGTGTTCATTATCCAGTCGATCACCAGAAGAAAGGGAAACGGAGAGACTCGGCATCCTTATCTGACTCCGGTCCTCACCCAAAATGCTCCTGACGGCTGCCCCCCATGCACGACCTTGCACTGAAGTCCGTCGTAGGAATTCCGTATAATGTTGACGATTTTCTCAGGGACTCCATAGTGTCGAGTCAGTTTTCTTAATGTTCTCCTATCCACACAGTCAAACGCTCTTTCATGGTCTATGAAGGTGATGTATACTGACGAGTTCCATTTAACTGATTGTTCAACGATGATCCTTGGTGTCGTGATTGGGTCTGCTCACGACCGATCCTTACGGAATCCAGCCTGTTAATCTCAATGTTGGGCGTCTCCTCGGTCCTTCATCCAGTTGAGGAACACTGTTGAAAACGTCTTTTAAAACTAACAGTAGTGTAATGCTTATGTAGTTCACACATTTGCTCAGATGTCTTTTCTTTGGTATCTTGATGAGGTATCCCTCTTTTCAATCCACCGGCACTTCCTCTTCCTCCCAAATCTTCCTGACTAGACTTTGGAGCATGTTTGCGATTAATTTTATACCTGACTTCAGAGCTTCAGCTGGTGTATTGTCAGATCCTGCTACTTTCCAACTTTTGGTCTGTTTGATGGTCATCCTGATTTGTTCAACCATTGGTAGGGCGACATCTATGGGAAGGTTCGTAAGTGCTGCTTCGAGGTCTAGTGGATCCAACGAAGCTGGTTTATTCAAGAGTTCCTCGAAGTATTCTACCCATTTATTCCTCTGTTCTTGAAGCTCAGTGATTTTCTTGCCCTCCTTGTCCTTGATCGGTATCTCTGGTTTACTATAATTCCCTGCTAGTTTTTTCATCGCGTCATATAGCTGTCGCATATTTCCCTCTGTTGCTTGTCATTGCTTGCTCTTCCATGTATTTCTGCTTCCGGCTTTAATGCTTGTTTGCAACTGTGTGACCACCTTGTGATTGACTTTCTCTGCACTTGTTCGGCTGTTGTTAATTGCTGTCTTCTTGTTCTTTCTTTCTTTCTTGAATCTCGTCCAGCGTTTCCATAGAGATCCATTACTTATGCTGATGTCTGTTGCGGACCAGTACCTCCTGACATGTTGACGTTGTAGATCGCCAACGTAGATTATCTATATCGAATGATTGGAGGTCTATTCGAATTGGACAGGAATGCTGTGACGAACCAATTAATTCCGAAGTCATACCTCGTAGTCAGCATTTCATGTGGATTACTCCTTCAACGTATCCAAGTACTATGGCTACTCCGAAGACCATTTAACACAAGGGCGTTAGTACGGAAATATATTATTAAGAATGAGTACAGGGAAGATAGCGACACTACCATCACATGTGCCAGTCCATGACCTTGACGTCGATCGATGATCTGTTCGATATTCAGTGACCCAAATTCCGGATGATTTGACTAAGGCCCAGTGATATTTCACTAGACCTACAACGTTAATGTTTCTTCGATTTCTTTTCAGTGGTCCTCCATAGTAGTTCCTTCTTTACTGAGTAGATCCCGTAAGGCTTGAAACTTGTTGTTGAAAGCTGTCTTGAATTCGTTGAGTTTGTTGGTATCTAGAAGGAAGGCTTTATCGAACCTTCGTACTGATGTTTCCTCAGTTGTTCAGTGTTTCCTTAGTTTCAGTTTCATGTTGACCACAACCACGTGGTGATCTAAAGCTATGTCTGCTCCTCTCTTGGTTCTCACATCTTCCATTTTCCTTCTGAATTTTTTATTGATTCAAAGATGATCTATCTGGTTCTACGTGGTGTGATCCAGTGGAACCCACGTAGCTTTGTGTATGCCTTTGTGTGGGAATATTGTGCCGCCTTATAATATTTCGAATTATTTGAATTATAGCACTAACTAAGAGTCCAAGAAATAACGCAATTGAATTAAGAAGTC